TATTAAATGCCGTAAGCAAGATCTATTTAAGATAGCCTAAAGCCAATTTGGTGCAATCGATGCATGTGGTAATGGATCAATACTTTGTTCTTTAAAAGTTCCAGTCCTATCAAAACTTTGAGCCTTTGTCGATTTAATTGGTTTGTTAACCGAAAGCCAAAAGCTGCTGGTGCCTCAGTTTTCATTAGCCCGGGTTGCTGCAACATCTTCGCCCAGTTTGTTTGCTTTTTTGGGCTCTAATGCGGGCCCAATAAACATAAACTTTGATATGTTTATGCCAGAAGTGCGTGCTGCTCGGTGAGATGCTGGCTTGTTTGTATTTGCATGCGGTCGTCGGCTTTGTTTGCATTTGCGTTTGTGCTTGAGCCGGAGATATTTGCATTTCAAAGTGAGTCCACAGCAAAGCCCGGGGCCCCCGGACTAATTCGAGCCGATTGAACATCGATTTTATAGCCCCATTTTTTCGTTACGACCAGCCGCAACAAAGGGTTCGCATCTGGCCTTCGCTGGAAGTTGGCCTAAAGCGGCGGAAATGTGTAGCCATCGCCATCAATGCAATGTGGATGGCGATGGCTTTGCAATAGCGCTTGAAGGTGATCGAAAAAAAAACAACGACGATTTCCAAAGTCATGCTCTCAATTCCAGAAATCAAAGGGGGTGGAGATGTGAAATACCTCAAAGGCCCAAAGATTACACTTGGGGAAAATGTGATAACTTCAATGGAAATTAGATTGCTACATGTGTTGGTCATTAAATGATATGTTAAACTGCTGTAATTTGTTAGTAATTAATGGTTACTTTTTAACAACCTCTATAAACAAGAAAGATTCTGTTTGTTCATATTGATGATGATTAATATTTGATGTGCTTTGTAATTTGATAAATCGTTTTTTTTAATATGCTGCAAATTTTACTTTGTTGCAATAGATTTAGAAAGCAGAATTGTTTAATGTTTTTTTTTTTGTATGTTTTTAAAAAGTTTACCCTGATAAAAACCCTTTTATTAAAAAACATTAGAAAATTATTTCTCCGAGTTTACTCATCGCTTAGTTATTTGGCATCGCAATTTGCCAGAAATAACAACAATTATGCTTGCCACGATGATGATGATGATGATGAAATTGCAGGCTGAAAATCGCGCACGCGTTTTGCATGCGACTTGGCGCGCGTTTAGCTAATCGCGCAATCTTTGGACGGGCGGACAGACTCACGTACGAAGGCGGCGGCACATGACCAATTTCTGTTGCCAACGCGAAGAGCCAGGTGGGGGGATAGAGACGTAGGAGAAGGAGGGAACAGGAGGGAGATATACCACAATACCCAACCCGAGCGAACTGCGCATGCGTGCGGTTTAAAACGCGTGCAAGTCGCGCGCTTTTGCAGGTGGCGGAGAAAGTTACCAACATTGAAACCACTTTTTTTCGGTCCGTCGCTGCCCGCCTATTGTTGCTGCTGCTGCTGCCCAAACTACATTGGTTTACATACATTCATACCACAAAATAAAAAAGAAAAGAAACCCGAGAGAGTAAAACGCCTGGCCATAAAGCCAAAGAAGAAGCGCGCCCAGCGTTAAATGAAAATAAATTTGTTTAAAAACCAAATCGAAGTTGGGCAAAGCCAAAGGCGCGCAGCGGTGAGAGCAAAAGTTATGAAATCGCCGCCAATGGAATCCCAAGTCGAATTTGTATCAATGAAGCTACAGTGGCGGTCAAAATAATAGTAGTGCTTAGGAGGTTAAATTTTAATTTTCCCATTAAATATTTTTTATAATTGTTTAAAAAATTAATAAATAACTGAAAACGATAAGATACATATAATATTCTTAGAAAATATTATATTTGTTACTCAGTTTAATTTTTTTGTAAATTCTTTTGACATTTGTGAATTTATGAATGAGACTAAATACTACTAAATATCAGAAAACCGGATGTAAGAGATTTCGGTATCAGCCCGGGGATTAAGTGAAAAGATCAATAAAGCATATCAATAAAAACCCACATATCTGTTCCAAAATCAATGAATGAGCCCCATTGAAAGACAAGACGAGACTGCAGCGTGCATTCGATTGCTATAATTTCGATCTCGGCTGTCTGCTGGGGCGACTTTGGCTTGGCACAAAAATCGAATATGAATATACAAGAAACCAACTCGACTTGGGCTCTTTCGCAACTCTTGGCGCCCCGGGCAACTGGATTGGCTTGTAATTGAATAATATTTCTACTCGGCTGGCCACATAACAAGCGGCGGGCGCGGGATACAAAAAAAACTAAAAAAAAAATACAACAAAAATAAGGAAGCGGCAATGCACTTGACAAAGCTGCTTCACTTGTTGTTGCAGCGGTTTTATGGTTTATGTTTTTGTTATTTCTCCTTTTTTTTTTTTGGTTTTTTGTGGCCACTGCATCGGCGGGGACTGTGTGGCATTTTTCACTTTTGCTTTTAATAGCCAGATGCTGTCTGTCGACTGAGACGACGGAGATGAACGACGGAGATGAAGTCGTCATCCGACAGCGTTTTTTCGGAATTTGTTTTGAATTTTTGAAATTGCCGCTCTTCACATAACCGTAATACACGCCTTCAGCCGGTTTTTATACATATATATCTGTATCTTATAGCTGTGTATCTGCGTTTCTGTCGCTGCCAGATGTCGCCCATTTCGATTTTGGTAAATTGGTAAACTGGGAAACAGGCCAAGGAAATCAACTGCCATCGAGAAAGTAGTGGTACTTTCTTTCTACCAAAACGCAGACGCGTCAGGAAATGAGAAAATCGTTGACAGCGCAACAGGATGTTCCAGAAAACTCCTGCGGATTGGTCTCAAGTGGTTTTTTTTTTAGGAGGAAGGTCCTTCAGCACAATATGTCAGCGGTATGTAATTCATTATCAAAAGGAATATTATTGAATTAGTAGTTCAAATTATATTTATTTTTAGTATGATGTAAAAATAACAACTTCGGTTTAAATCAAATAAATTCTTTAAAATTTCCTATTATATCACAACCATTTCCGCATTCCAACTATTTACCCACTTTTTATCAACTCGAAAGTGATCTTATTTTCTTTTCTTCACCCCCAAAACTCCTGGGCTCAAGTGGCTTTTGCTTTTCAAAGAGAAAGTTGTCCAACATGTGTGTTCCCACTGCAGGCCAAGAACTTTTAATAGACGGCGGCGACGTGGTGCCAGTGAATTGATAAGATTGGGGAGACGGAGACCCAATTGCATAACTGGCGACTAACCAAATATACGAGTAGTGGGTGCGTTGATTGCGATCCCTATGCAATAGATTGTATATTCAAGATGGTATACGATCGAATCCAATGGGAGGGCCAATCAGAGGGGGATGCTCCGTGAAAGTCAGGGGCGATAAGGTGGGGTTGTCGAAAATAGAACCCAGAAACTAACCTTGCTTTTCGACGAGGGATCGGCTGTCGCTTGGTGACTGGGTGACAAATGGTCGACACGCGCGTCTTAATCCACAAAAGAAATGCTAATGAGGATCTCTATAATGCTGGATTTCGAGTTCCAGTTGGAGAGGTCGTGGGCATTAACTAGTTCTTCTCGAGTTGTCCACTTTCTGCGAACAAATCCACATAGTTTCTTGCACGGCGCGTTGTTTGGTTTACATTTATATAACCACTAATTGCGGCACTTTCGTTAGCGAGTTCCGATTTCTACTTTATTTGGCTAACAAATTGTTAAATGCGAAAAAACACACGGAAACTCTCTGCTTTTTGCTGTTTGTTGTTGTTGTTTTTGCTGCAGGGCGCACACTCGAGTTGTTGTATTTGGTTTATTGGCAGTGGTGTTGTGGCCCGGTTTCGTATCGATGTTCTCGCGGATCGGGGCAACTGGCTAGTTGGCTGCGCGACGAGTCTCTGCCAAGTGGAATCCTGGCGTCCGGAATTATAAACTATTTCGCTGCGGGCTCCAAAACCAATTGAAAGCCTCTTTCTTCCGCGTACACAACTTCGCTGGGCTGAACAGCTGTTTCGATGAGTGTGCCCAGACGGCGAAGTGACCAGCTATGGGTTCCTGAAAAATCTATGGGGGGAAAATGGGTGTGGAAACACTGGTGCATATGGCTGTGATTTTTAATTTATTTAACGTTAACTTGTTTATTTTAGGGGGATTCCCTAAACTGTTGAATTGCTGAATTGTTGAAAATTCAACAAAAAATTTCAGCAATTAAGGGAACGACCCAAAATGGTTCCTGTTGAATTTTCAAACAGCTGTTATTTGTTGAAAAGTTTCACGGAACTTAAAACATGTCAGATTTGATTTATTATTGCTAATTACTGCCTAAAATTGTTACCAGGTTAAAAATAACCACAAACATTCTTCCTAAGTTGATTTTAAAATAAATAATGCGTACTGGTGATACTAAAATGTTACAGAGTTGCCACGACTTTTTAAAAAAGGTGACAACTCTGGCTTTTCAGCAATTCAACAAAATTTTCAGCAGCCCCGAGGCTGATGAATTGCTGAAATTTCTGAAAGTTGACTTTGTATGGAACAGCTGATTAACAGCTGACCAAAATTCAACAATTCAGCAATTCAACAGTTTAGGGAATCCCCCTTTTATTTGTTTATTTACGTTTTGTACAAATTGTAAAGTTTTTCATGTTAATTTAAAGTTTTCCCAATTTATTAATATATTTTATAATGGTTATAACTTTGAAATAGGGTTAAAAAATTAGGTTTATATCACATTGGGTAAATATCACAGGCAATGTGTATGAAAAGTTTTTTCTCCAAATATTTTAACAAATATCGCCATTTTTCACTTTTGTATCGTATAATTTACAGAATACTTTATAAAGTGAGTTGTCCTTAATTTCATTTTTCTAAATCGTAAAACTGGCCGCATAATTATTATTTCAAAACTTTTTAAATCAACCCAACTAATTTTGAACTGAAATACTTTGTAACGGATAGCTGGCAAAAATACCGAAAATACCAGAAAAAATACAACCCAACGGTCACACAACCGGGCTGTCAACTTGACAGCTGCGTCGGCGATTGTGATTTGCAATTTTTGTAGTTTGGGAATACATTAAACATTAAATTTGGAATTACTCGGCACTGAGCGCAGATTCGAACGCAGTTGCGATGTCCAACCCACAGGCGAATGTCACCGCTTACCTGGCGGCCCAGAAGAAGACCACAAACAAAGATCTCGCGGCCGAGTGGACGCTGATCGAGGAGCTCTACAATGAGAAGTGAGATTTGCGGGCAAAAAATCCATTTCCCTTGATTAATTCACCTATTTTACAGACTCTGGAACGAGCTGACCATCAAACTGGTGGCCTTCGTGCGCCACGAGTCGCTGCAGGACGAAACGGCGCTGCTGCAGCTCTACCAGAACTTCCTGTCCACCTTCGAGACCAAGTGAGTCGACTTTCCCGGATGACTCGGCAAAATCTAAAGTCTTTTCCTTGCAGAATCAATCCCTACGGGCTCATCCAGATCCTCGAGGTGGTGGTGGACAACATAGGCGACAAGAAGGAGGCCATCGACTTCCTGGAGAAGATGAAGGACAAGGTGAAGATCTGCGACGAGGCCGTTTGGTATCTGCAGGTTATGCAGGGCAATCTGTATCTCAGCAACCTCAACGATCTGAATGCCACCAAGAAGATCATCGAGGAGCTGCGCGATGTCCTGGAGGAGGCGGGCAACGTGACCCCCGTCCACGGCAAGTACTACATGCTGGCCTCCCAGTATTATCGCCGGGTGGGCAAACACAGCGACTACTACCGATGCGGCCTGCAGTTCCTCGGTTGCTCCCTGGACGACTATCCCCGCGACCAGTGGGCCCAGCAGGCCTTCTTTCTGGGTCTGGCCGCCCTTCTGGGCGACGGTGTCTACAATATAGGCGAACTGCTGGCGCATCCCATCCTGGAGTCCCTGAAGGGCACGGAAAATGAGTGGTTAATGGAGCTGCTCAAAGCCTTCAACACGGGCGACATTAACAAGTGGGTGGAGCCAATCTATCTTCCATCTATCGCATATAACAAATCCCCTTTCTTTTAAAGATTCAACGACATGAAGAAAATCTGGTCCAAGATCCCCGACCTGGCCGCCCAGGAGGTCAAGCTGCGCCAGAAGATCTCCCTGCTCTGCCTCATGGAGATGACCTTCAAGCGCACCGCCATCGAGCGCGCCATCTCCTTCACCGACATCGCCCAAGAGACCAAACTGCCCGCCAAGGAAGTGGAGCTGCTCATCATGAAGGCTCTGGCCTTGGATCTCGTGCGCGGTGAGATTGACCAGGTGGCCGGAGTGGTGAACATGTCGTGGGTGCAGCCACGCGTCCTCAACCGCAACCAGATCGTAGGCATGGCCAGCACTCTGGACACCTGGATGGGCGCCATCACGAATATGGAGAAGCTGATGGAGAATCGTGCCGCCGAAATTCTCACCAATTAGTTTAAGTTTCGCTTGATCTTGATGGTCCCCCGCTAATTTCCATTTGCGCAAATGCTTTTGTATTTAATTAAAACCCAAAAAATTGTATCGATTTGTTTTCAGTTTAATTTAACTCCCTGACAGTTTTGCGTGTAAAAAGTTGTTTGTGCTTACAGACTGGCCTTAATCCTAGCTTATTGGCTAAATCAGATCACTTATCGAGGAGTTGCTGCTTACGTTTAGGCCTAGGATTATTTACAATTTAAAGAATACGTCGAATTTGGCGATAGACTCTGCGTTACCTAACAAGCTAAAATGTCGATCAATAATTTGGAATTTGCTGTAGCAATAAACGTGGCCCGCAATCAAATGTTCAGGCAGCGCAGCTTGGTATCAGGCACACGGGAGGTGAACTCGAAGGATGGCGGGCGGCGGATGTCCTCGTGCGAATCGCGCCGTATCCTATCCGGATTGCGGCCCATCACAGACGACAGAGATATTTGGCGGCGGTACAGCTCCTCGAGGACCAGGCGCTCCAGCTCGAACAGGTGGTCGTCGCGAACGCCGGGAATCTCCTCGTGCATGAATAGCGCCAGGCGGAGAAGGTACTCGGCATTGTGGCCGCTGGGACCGCGGCAGGAAACGATCTGCTGGGCAATCTCCTCCACCGGATCATCGCCTAGCCAATGGATATTCTCCGGCGTGGCCACATAGACTAGCACCTCGACTGCCTCGCCGCTAAAGGGCGTGTCCTGGGAGGCGACGCGCGGGAAGAACTTGGTATCAATCGTTGCATAGCCACCTGTTTTGGGATTATTACGGGTTAGCTCTAATCATGGGATCACTTTTTCATTGATTCACTTACCCAATGTGCACTCGCGCTGCTTGAGATAATCCAGTGCCGTGCTCCCTGTTATTCTATAGGCGCAGCCCCAAGTGATTCCCTGCAATCAGAAGTGGGGAATATATTAAAAAATAAATATAAAACAGGTGGCTAGCATAAATCTAAAAATATTTTTTAGTAGTCGTCCCGCGCGGGGTTTGAACCCGTGTATTTCGGATCAGGGATTGTGCTATTCTTATCGCGCACGGTCGCTCGCTTATGATTCCCAACTCGTTTTTCGGCCGGCAGCACGTATAAATAGCGCTGCTAGCGACGACAGTATTGCCGCTTTGAGTTTTTCATGCTTGTCTCTCGGGGTCACAAAACGAGTTCCTGGTAACTCTACTGATTATGCCCTGGGCGAAAGTCCCCGGGCCTAGGATAGAAAGTATCAAGGTGTAAAAAGTGCAACATGTGGTGTTGCATTCGCCTATATTCCGCGGAATTTCGCCCGGCGTACGATGAAGAGTGTTCCGAAAGGATCCCGAATCTTTGCGCCGGGTTGTCTGCGGAAATCTGCCAGAGATAACCTTAGATATGGACGAGTTGGTAGGACTCGCCGGGCGTTAATTCACTCGGCGAGAAACCGCCTACACAGAATGGGGCTTACATTGAGAAATTCGGACGGCGCAATCACTTTTTTACACTGGGTGGGGGGACTTATAAATCATATTCTATATACTTTACTCACCTCTTTGTCCTCAACGAGCGTTGCAACACGTCCAGGCTGTAACAAAGAATGAAAGTACACATTAGCACTGGGGAGTATTTTATACAATCGTGGGGCTTATGTATTTATATCGCTCCCACAAAGACTGAGGGCTAGCTCACAGCTCGCTGTTTGTTTACCTTCTGTATATTTGCTTTATTTACGACATTTACACATATAACTGGGGGTTATATATGGACCTTGACTTATTTCGAAATTGCTGACTTTTGTCGTGATCGCAACAGAAGCACAGATTGCAGGGAATATAAGAAAGTGGGGAATTTAAAATTGTTTCAACGAACTATTATATATTTAATTATATTTTTTACCAACTGGTACTATTTTATTTTTAAAATGCCGCCATACCTATGACCTCAATTGGGTTCCAAAAATGGGACAAAAACTGGTGATATGTCCCTCTAAATATTCAAAAATCAACAAATTCCGATCCCAAACTGGTTCCCCGACACCTTTAAACGCCTAATCGAATTGATATCTATTCCAAGGGGCTTGTCCTGACTTGTTTAGCAAGCAAATCACTTATGTTAATTGAAACGCAATCTGTATCTTAATTGGCAGCCGCTCTAGACGTTGGCAAATGCTAATTTCACTTGTTGTTTGCCATTAGCCCAACACAACTGATAACGCCCGACGAATAGATAACGCGTGCCTGATCACTTTTGCGCTCACATTAAAAACTGGCAACTTGCGACGTTTACTTTTCACTGTGCACAGACGAAAACAAACAGCAGGGGTAATAAAATAATTACCAGATCGCTAATGTTAGTTAGCCACTAGGTAAACACACGTGAAAGCTGGCTAACAGACCTGTCTAAGACTCGGATTTGGGTAATCCCACTCACCTTTTCTTCACAGCCGCGGTGGGTGACGTTGCCCTGCCAAAATCGGCGGACATATCCCCGGATATAGCCCGTAATGCACTTGGTGTAGGTGAAGCCGGGATGCCAGCACAGGGATCCGTATCCAAAGACCCAGCAGGCGGGATCCGAAGGACCCTCGTTGTTATTGTTATTGGGACGATTCTCCTGCTCGTTCTGGTCGTTGTTGTTGTTGTTCTCCTCCGCTGCTCCCAACTGGCCGTTGGTGAAGAGATTTTTGAAATGGGCCGGCACCTCCGCCGACTGGCGATGACCACTGAAGTGAGCCATGTTCTTTGCCCAGAAGATTCCTTAAATATCCTTGAATTTCCCGGGATTTCGATGTGATCTGACTGCTGCTCCTGGTTGAGATCGGGACTGGGGATCCTGCTGGGGCTGCTATCTGGACATTCTGGTGGCTGTAGGCTCCGGCTCCTAGTGTTACATTGCTCGCCGGCCTCCGATGGCTCCGAATGCACTTGAGATTCTGTGGATGGCCAGAGCAGAGTGATGTTACATAAAACTCGAAATTTTGGTTAACTATCTACTACTAAAGGTGGTAAGCCCTAGAAATAATTTTTTTTTCCAACCGAAACCTAATCCCCGGCTTACTTGTAGGTGGTTAAAGTCGGGTGCTGAGTGATGTGGAGGGTAAAATTTTTCTATATTTTTTGTGTTGATTGTATTTTTTTTTTTTTGCTGGTGAGACTTTTCGCGCCGACTGCGACCAAATAGTTCCGCGAGCGGTCGGGAACTAAACCACCCAGCGCGAAAACCGAAAACATTTCCAACGCCCCGACGTTCGCGAAGAGGAAGACTAACACAGAGCGGCGAAAAGTAAAAAATAAAAATGTAAAATAAATATTTATGACGCTCTGTCTGACGACTCTCAAGACTTATCTATAGGTTTGAATGTGGCGAACAAGTATTTAAATTGCCGCTCGCCAAAGCTCTCTCTCTCTCCCTCTCACTCTCTTGCTTTCTCAGTCTAGTTTCACTATCAACCGAGAATTATGGCAAAATCTTGGGGCCTCGTATTAAGGTAAAGGTGACTTGCTGCCCAAACACGTCCATAAATAATCCAACAATTAAATAAAGCCATATATTTATATACCTTATAAACGCTAAATAATAACCGATCATATAATGACCAAGCTGGAAAAAAGCTGCGTGATGAAAAAACCCCTTGAACTGAAGGATCAGCCATAAATTCGGGCATTTAATAATTATAAATATATAAATGCCTCAAATTAAGAAATGATTTTGGAAATTGCCAATCATGGACCATAAAGATCCTTGTCGGCTTAATATTTATTAATATAACAAGCCAGACACAGAAAAAAGATTGCAAAACAAATCACTTCAGCTGATATTTATTGTTATGATGCTTATTATTATTGTTTTCCCTGGATTTTCCTGATTCCAAAGAATAAATCATTTTTGCTTAGTAACAGACCACTGATATAGAAACTAATTGTAACTATTACAGTGATTAGATCAAAGTCAATAGCAACCTACGACTCTTTTTGATAAGATTGTGACTTGATTTATAGTCATATTAGGTTTGTTTCCATGGAAAATGAAGATCACTTCTTATTTAGAAATATTGTTAATAATATTGCAGCTTTTCCCTTTTGTTCAAAGTCTAAGTTGAACTGCTCTTTATGATATTATCGCCAAGAATATTTATCTGTATTTATTTATACATTTTTATGTCTTTGCACTAGGCTGGTTACTCTTTGAAAAATATTTGAGAAATGCTTATGTTTTAGATAAGTTTATCAGATGTCTTATTTAATTTTCTGAGCTATCTGCTTAAAAATTAATTTGGTTTATTAATATTTCGAGTGCACTTCCACCACTGACTAACTTGGAGAGTATTAATAATTCACCATGCGAAAAGCAAATCTCATTTAAGTTTTACTTTCGCAAGTTCAAAGAGGGGAAAGGAAAGCAGGGTAGCGCTATATTAAATATGTGTGACCGATCTTTTCGCCGTGCTAACTACGCTGCTGCCCATGACCAAATACATAATTTGAAATGGCTGACTGTACGTATACTTGTTGTTTATGCTTGTACCAGTATACACAACAAAAAATCGAAATGTATGTCAAATTGTAGACAGCTTAAAAATATATAAATGGATATGTAGGGAAATCACATTATTAATTTTCTTTGATAAAATAAAAATAGCTATAAATAGCCAAAGATGTTGATGAAAAAGAAATTTTTAATTTATTTCTTTTAAGTTGTTGCTGATATTTTAAGACCATTTTTTCATGTGTAGATGCCCGGCTGCCACACCATCGTATCGTGATGGGTCCCATTAACGAGGCATGCTCGATATATAAGCTTAAAAATGTATGTACCCTCGTGTGCATATTTGTTTGTATTTTTAGCTATTTTATTTCGCGTGTAGCACTTATACTCACACATGCTTATATGAATAAACTTAAACATTTCGCACACTTTGTTTTGATTGCCGCCTTCCCGAAATGCCGAGGGAATTTCTGAGTATTTGTGAGCTTTCTGTTTTCATACGCTGTTTCTAAATACCAGTCTTTTTTTGTTTTTGCTGGATTTTTATTTTCGCTTGTGTATTTTTAATCTTTTGCTCTTCTTCTTTGGGTTTCGATATTTTAGCATAAATAAATTGACCCAAAAACAGGCTGGATGGTGGAAAATTACCGAAAACAAGTTCAAAAACCTTAAACGCACATCCGCACGCACATTTGGATAATCCGGTGTGTGTGTGTGTTTACGACACCCCACATCCTCAAAAGCAAAAACACACACACATTCACATACGAGTTTTCTTTTGCCATACAACTTGGTTACGTATACGCAGCGTTGGCCACTGCTCGTTTGCCAAATGAAAAACGCTCCGAAGTCGACTCGCTACACATTTCTGGGTCCTTGATACTGAACTTTTTTCATTGTGAAAGTTTTTTGCCAACAGTTCAAGGTTAGCCAATTTTTCTCAAAATTGTTTATATAGCAATCTATAGTTTTTATCGGTTGCTTGTTTTTTTTTTTTGGGGGCAGAGTGTGTGTGTGTTTGACTCTAGACTAGAGGGCTCTATGGGCAAATCAACTTGTTTTTGTGCTTGGGTAACAGGCGCAGAACACACAAAAATTCTGTGCTCCGTTTTCTATGTACACACAACAAAAAGCCTTAAGCCCATTGATATCACATGTACATGGCACACGAGTGGACGTTTTTTAGGAGGGCATAAAAGTGTATCTTGGTGGCTGGTGACTGAAATTCGTCGAAATCAACAAAGCACACGAACCCACAGACACGAATACTCCACCCAGATGGGCAAAACAGGCATTTGGATCAGGGCTTCGCTTTTTCGGGTGGGGGATTTACGTGCAGCTGTCTAAATTTCTGTCTGGCTTATCTCGTTTGCGATTCTCTCATTTAACTTTCATCGCTCGGCGAACGATCACAATTGAGATTGACAGAGTGTTAAATGGCTTGAATTAGGTGATCTAAATGTCTTAATAGTCCGGCCCTATTCAAAAAGTACCACATATAAAGCGTATGTTATACAATAACACGCCCCTAAAAAGTATAATCGTAACAATATTAATTGCTTTTCTTAAGTGCTGCTGATTTGACACAATAAAATCAAATGTGTTTTTATCTTTCCACCAAATAAGTGAAATTCATTGACAGATGAACAATGTGGTCATCTTAAATACTTTGGCTTCCTATTTGCCTACCTCTATATAGTAAATAATTTAAAACATGCTCCTTTGTAATCAAATTAATCACACAAGACTCTGAAGTGTTTTTTATTTTTAAACTTAATACAATTAATTTTTTAAGATTTACACTGGCACTTCAGAATAAAATAATAAAGCGTTCTAATTGCCTTACCACTTCTAATTAAACAATTAAAAATATATTTTATTTTATTGTGCAGAATACGTGGCTAATAACTCTACTTCTGTTGCCTTTCTCCTCTTCAACATTATCAAGATTATTCGACGAGGGCATGTTCGATCGGCCTAGACCAAATATTATTGTTAAATAACCACCGCCGAGCAGACCGACAAAAGTCGAGTATGTAATTTACAGTCGCGCGTTGCCCGTCGCTATCGCTATATAATTTTGCTCAACTGATAAGAGTTCATTTCGACTGGGTCTTGGAGACGAAAGGCGTCTGATTAGGGTTTGCATTTGTTGTACCCCCTCGAAAGGAAAGAAAAGATAAGATGTGTGAACTACAGCCAACCGGCAGATAAAAGAATTCGCCAGACAGTCCGGTTAAAAGGTAAACAACTTTTAGGTTTCGCCAGATGCACACAGTTCTACACACATATATCAATTAACACATCTGGCCTAATTTTTCGCTATATAAAGCACTAAATATATATGTAGATACCGAGTCCAAGCAACCCCCGAATATTGTCTTTTGCGCATTTTTAGTATTCGTTTCTTTTGGCTTAGTTGGCACACACGTGTGGCTCTCTTATTCGCCGACTTTTCTGACGCTCGACCCGCTTGTTTATTCGAAACCACAGACTATTATTAACCCCAAAACTTATATTTAACTTTAATGATGTTTGCTGCTTGCACTTAAAGATTTATTTAGCCGAAAGAAGCACACTCTTACAGGAAGTTTACTCTTAAATGGAAAGGTAAATGTTTGGTTGGGACTATTCTCTGTTTGTACAAAATATTTGGGTTATACGGCAAACTGGTATTGTATTTACTTTTTATGGCAATATTTTAAATTTTAAAATTACCATAAATTAACTTGTAGATTAAGTTAATTTGGTCTAAAAGCCCTGAAGGGTATATTAATTTAAATGGGTTAAATGCCGTAGCAAAAACAATAACAGTCAGCGAATGTGGCCGTAAAATTTAAATAATTCTGCAATAAATAACACTATCTACATTTGGGCTCACATTTCAAATTGTGGAATGGCACGTGCCAAAAAATGAGACTCGAACTGACTTGCTGATAGGGTTAATTACTATTCTCAAATTATTACAACAGTAGTTGAAGCCTATACTGTCACTCATAAGGTATGTAAGTCGGTTGACCTTGGGAATGTCACATTGTAACAAAGAAGCTGGAAACGTAATGGAAAAGTCAGTAATAAAGATGCTCTTTGAAGCTTAAAACATGAATTTTTATCATTTAAGAGAAAAGGGAGTTGGTAGCCTTTAACTTATTTAATAGTAATAGAAATCGCAAAGAGGTCTTCAATTGAAACACTACAAATGGAAAAACAACCAATGCAGTCATTAAACTAGAAAAATGATTGAGGTCCGAGTGAAAAATTCTTTTGTTTACAAAAAGATTCTATTTTTCAAAAACCTCATGAATTGTCGTTTTGTTTAACCATTAAATTCATTTTGCTTGTTTTCATTACTCATGCAAATAAAAATTGCGTTTTAGTATTATAATAAAAAATTTAAAAACAAAGAACTCTATCTTAAAGCCAACAAAAAACAAAGAAATGTACAATTCAGTGACATCAGAAAAAATTACTATATTAATCTGTTGGTTATTTAATAATTTAAGTTTTCACTATAAGGCATGTGTTATTTTAGAATTCACATATGTTTAATCTGCCACATACTATTTACTTATATAGGAATTCGACATTTTCAGTGATTTCTTAATGCACTTGCACTATTTTCAGGGTCTGGCAAATTGCATCGACGGTTTGCATGTACAGTGACTGGGCAATAAATTAAACTATTGAAAATACCTACGAGAACGCAGTATACAAAGTAAACAAAAGCGAAAATAAATTCAAATCTGTTTTGAATTAAAAGTTCTGTGTATTAAAAAAGCGAGAGCGGAGAGAGAATGTGGGGGCGAAAGATAACGGAGAGGGAGAGCTTGCGCGGAAGAAACAAAGACACACGCACACAGGGACGGGGACACAATGATAAGCCAGAGTAATTGCAACAACAAAGTGTTGTAAGTCGACAGCAAGGTAAATAAGACTGTGTGTACATACATGTATGTGAATGCACGTGTTGACACTGAAAGCTCTCAACTTGGCACACTGACACACATATGAGCATATATGTACCTGTGTATATTATATGAACGATCTCTCCACATGCAACAATTTGATGCACAATTACCCACCTGTCCATTTGATGCCGCTTTCACAGGTAAAACGGTAGCAATTACGATCGTTTATCGTTTATTTCTCGCTTATCAATTTCCGTTCAACTTTTGCACTACACTCGACATTTGTTTACTCGATTCGTATTCCGTTTTGTATCAGCCTTTTCTATTCCGTTGCGACACTCTGCGCGGCAATAGCAACAATAACATTTCGCACTCTTCGCACGCCTTGTAATGGAAACAATAACAATAACTCCGACGCACACAATCGCCCTTACACTCTATATCTTTGTGTCTCTTTCTCGCTGACTGATGGAGCAGGGCGACCGTCTCCACCGACTGCTTCAATGTAAATGCGGGAATTGTGCCGTTTTTCCGCTCTCAAATAACGCTCCCAGCTCCCATCTCCCATGTCCCCGCTCTCCGCCCATCCCCACCTCCCTCGGCAGTCTCTTCTTCAGCGAATTTCGCTGAGCGAACATAAACGGTAAAAATATGATGGATTTCATTACAAAACCTGTACCGGCTTATAATGTACCGTCGTTCATAGGTATGTATGTATATATTCTCATTTAGGTATTTGTGTTACAAGAGAGTGAGTATTTAAAACAGGTTTTGCATGGACACAAAGGACATTGAAACTACACTGAACAATTTTTTAATTATTATTATATTTAATTAAATTTGTCAATCTTGTTTTTATTCATCTTCGCTTGTTAAATCTGCATTTGTAAGTAATTAAAAGTTGCTTGGAAATATTTGTAAATGAATCTTAGTTTTTGGAACTAAAGGAATTAAATAAATCCTTTTATATATTACAGAGAGTTCGAATTCGTACTTTTTTCCAGTGTACTTTTGATATCAAAGCTCCAAGGACTTTGATGCTGCTTCTCTCTCTCTCTCTCCATCTCTCCCATTGCAAACGCTCTCTGCGCACGGAGAGTGACGCATCTCTCCATCTTTCCTTCTCCCACTCCCCATCTCTCCAACTCTCTCTTTCTCACCATACATTCATTGGCTGACGTAATTCATACGCACTGTTGCCGCATGCAACGCGATTTTATGAATGGAAAGCAGAAAATGCAAAAGCAACAACCTCAGTTGCCACCTGGCAACAGGTGCAATTTGTGAGCTTAGAACGAAAAAAGCAGATAATTGACAGACACTTTACCGCATCTTAATTGTCTTAATTGGAAAGTGATGTGCCGCATGTTCGATTCGCCGGTTGCTGATGGATGACAAAATACTGCCTCAACCTTCAGTTTAGATATTACCTTGGTAAAAATAAACACCTACACAACTGATAAGCGTCTGCATCAAACTTTAATGAAATTGCGTCAGATAAATATTGTTGAGCTAGGCGAAATTTTTAGACTGATGAGGAGTTTCTGAAATACGAAAATAGAATGCCAGCTAATACAAATAACTTTCCTAAAAATAAAAATAATAAAAATGTCTGGTATTTTCTACCAATTCACAATATTGGGCTTCAACAGCCAAATTAGTATTGTCAAAACTATTTCACTCATCCTAAATAATTGTTTATTTTTATATTTTACCATATTTGTTATTTTGAGTTTTTAAATGCACCTTGCCAGATACTTTGGAAAAGATGCCGGAGTTGCCAGATAACTGTAAAAAGTCCGCACTACACGCCATCTTTTGAGCCCAAATACGCCATCTAGCCGCCATTGTTTGGTAAGAGCGCCCATCTTAAAATCAAATAATATCTAAATATCACTCATACGCATCTTGTTACCTGGAAATATATTCAAATTAAAACACAAAAAGGGCAATTGAGGCTAAACTGGTCAAGGTAAGGAAAGAATAATAGTAAAATAAAAACATTACAAGTTGCAGTTACCTATGCAGATGAAGTAAATGAGATACATTATTAAAAGATTTTATTATCTTACGAATGAAAAAAGAAATACAGATGATCTTCTCTAAAAAACAATTGCAGTGGCAGCACGGCTCTAAAAAAAATATCGATACTTTCGATGAAGGCCACTGTCGTCCCAAAACTTGTTTCTTTTTTCCAGCACTTTGAGGAAGATCACATCAAATGTTCTTTACCGCGTAAGAAGTTTATAACCCTACCGTTGTGCATAATAATTTCTTAAAAAAGTGAAGAAATATTGAACAAATTACAAATGAGTCACTTTGGTGATAGCAAGCCTAAATGTGAACAAATTAGTATTCGTTGGGAGACATTTACAATTTCATAAACACAAAAGAATTGTTTGGAAAAACTCGATAAGACCCCTATATTCATTCATATGTATATATTTGCGTTTACATGCAATCGCTTCAGAGAAGTCATCTCAGCACTTTTACTGGACCATTCATCAGAAGGTTGAAATCTATCGGGTGAGTAAAAAATGGGTGTCAGTACCAAAATCAATTTTATTATAATCGTAGTGCGCGTTCGATAAATAATTGATAAAACTCTTTTGTAGTTCATTTAACATAAACTCAAGTGTTATAGTTCCTCCAAGATAGTTTGTCGTTAATCTTATTGTGATCACGCACTATATCACATGTTATCTTTCTTGCGTTGCTTTATCTGTTGTGTAAAAGAACAAAGAATGTTTAATGAAAAATGAAAATGGTAGAACCATACCCAAATAAAACATATATTTTTATTAAATAATATAAATATTGTAAACAAATTTTCCCCCAATGACGCAATTATTTTATTAGTAAGAGGCATTTAAAAATACATTTCAATTTCTTGTTAAAGAAGTATTAGATCACTTCGTGTTTTCCGCTCTTCTCTTAAAAAAAAAAAAAAAATATAAAATAAAATATATCGTTGCCTGCGTAAGAAAGTATTAATGTCGAGATGGACAAATCACGAATGATTAAAATATTTGAAATATAATATCTACATGGTGCACATTGTTTTTTGCATACCAGTCAGTTTGTTTGACTCCAGCTTAAGTTATTTTACATTTTATTATATTATTTAGTGAGTCAAAAAAATAACTAATTTTCTAATATTTTCACAAATTGCCATTAAATTTCTAGGACTTTATTTCCAACGCCTACGGATTAACATGCTCTTAGGGCTCAAAGTGTTTATATGCCTGCTGCTTCAGGTTTGTATTCTGTCATATTCATATGGACATAAAAATGGCTATGGCAATTATATACCAGGTAAGAATTAAGTCCTTTATAATTAAGATTTTTTATTGCATTTTTATGTACTGTATATTTTTACTTGTATATTTTTTTATACATAAAAAATTTAAAATTTAAAAAGAATTTAAAACTTTAACATACAAGCAACACCAAAATTTCATTTAAATATACAATAAATACACTTGACTCAAAGTTACATTTTTAACAGGGTCTTCAGTTTGCCAAGCCACTGAGAAATGTTCCAGTCAAAAATACTGCCACGCCTTAAAGTTTATTCTCGATTCCGAGGACGTTAGTAACATCCGGCTTAAACGTTTACAAGAAAGACTATGTGGAATACATTCCTACTGCTGTCCAGAGCAAAGTAAATATACAAAAAAAATCTGAAACCCGTACAAACTAATCCTAAAATCTATTAGCTTCTCAACACCCCAATATGGAATGTACCAGGCTGGACAATTCATGCCTTTCGAATGTTACGCCTGATAGTCTTAATAGGGCAAATATTGAAATGTTAATTAAAAGACTTTGTAATATCGATTACTCGGAGAGATTCTTAGGTCAAAGGATCTACGTCCAGTGTCCCAAGCCAGGTAACGATCGCAAAACAATTGAAAGTAATATAGTGTTTAATAGTTCTAACTCTATCAGCATTTCCGAATTGTCAACAAAATGAGAAATGTTCCAGCCTAAAAAACTGTCATTCCTTAAAGTTTATTATCGAATCCGTGGATATTAGAAACGCCGTGCCACAAATATTACGAGAAAGGCAATGTGGCCGTCAGTCCTACTGCTGTCCAGAGCAAAGTAGGTAAATATAAAAAAATCTAACACCTGTACAAACTAACTTAAAAATCTATTAGCTTATCAACAATCCAATGAGCAATGCACCAGGCTGGATAATTCATGCTATTTGCATGTTAAGGCAAATACACTGAATAAGGCCAATGTAGAAATGTTACTAAACAGACTATGTGATGTCGATCACTCAAAGAGATCGCTAGCCCAAAGGATCTACGTCAAGTGTCCCAAGCCAGGTAACGATAGCCAAATTTAAGCTAGCCTTCTAATTAAAATCTTTATAAATAGTATCGGTTTGTCAGTCCAATGAGAGTTGCGTAGGCCTTAATAACTGCCCTCAAATTCATGATATTGCTAACAACCCGAGTTATAAGCTCAGATTGTGCCAAACCAATGCCAGGCGGTCTTATTACGACCATCAGACTTACATCTGCTGCCCGGAGGCAGGTAACATCCTACCGGATGGTTTTAAAATGCAATGCGGACAGACGCAAGGATCCTACCGAATCGCAAATGGTCGAAAAGCGAATCTCAATCAGTTCCCCTGGATGGCCATGCTGCTATATAGGAATATTTTAAGATATTCGAGTCAGACTCTCTTTACCGTTTGTGGAGGATCGTTAATCAACAAACGGTACGTCCTGACTGCAGCCCATTGTGTGAACAAATCGGTATTGAAATCGAAAGAGCTCAAAAGGGTTCGCCTGGGAGAACATGACATCGACTCTTTTGGCGACTGCTCAGATGGGAAGTGCGCTCCGCCGCATCTGGAAATGGGCATACAGAAGGTTATTAGCCATGAAAACTTCGATAGCAGGACATACGCCAACGATATCGCTTTGCTGCGACTTGAGTTACCAGTTCGGTGTGTAATGATACTTTAATTTTTTTGCCCACCGTGATCCCATATTTCTTCTCATTGCAGCTATACCAAAGAAATCCAACCGATATGCCTTTTGAGAGACCATATTGCCTTAAGGAACCAAAGATTAGAAATAGCCGGATGGGGAAAAATGGAAAACGAATCATTCAGTCACGTATTATTGCGCAGTACTATTTGGGAAAATACTCAGTTCTGTCTAAATCATATGAAAACATTCAAAATCCATTCACAAATTTGTGCCGGTGGACAGAATGTATGGGACACCTGCGAAGGCGACTCTGGAGGTCCCCTGATGGCCACCTACAAAATTAAGTCTACCTTCAAGGAGTTCGTTTTTTTGGCAGGCATCACTTCCTTTGGACTTGCGAAATCTTGCGGACAGAAGAATAATCCAGCTGCTTATACAAAAACTGGAGTATATTTCCAATGGATTCAGTCGAACTTAAATCCCTAATTTTTTCTTTTCAAGAAATTTTATTCTCCGATACCCAAAACAATCTTAACTTTGTAAAAACAATCCTTAATTTTGTATGAATTTTTTATGTCTAATTCTCAAAACTTAATTTCACACTTTAACCCAATTAAACATTTTTTAAAAAGACTCTAAATTAGAATTGTTTTAGTTATCTGTGGCTATGATTTTCCAAACATGTCAAACTTATCCAAATTTCAAGTGCAGCTCAGTGATTCCTGATCCTGATTTTTGATCCAAAAAGATGGCGAGACAGGCGATAATGATTAGATTTACAATTGGGATTATCGTGTGGCACAACAAATAGGCTTTGCCACCAAAATACCATCAGACCGAATCAAAACAAAACATCCATCAAGCACGGCGAGAAAACAAAAGCGAGAAAATAAAATAAAATGGAGAGGTGGGTAGGAAAAAGTGGAAAAATTAAAATGGGAAATGCTCGAGCTAACCGCGGGCCTAAGACAAAAGATTTACAATATCGCTGGGGAAGATTTAAAGGTGATTTCCAAAGATATATATTGTGCCTGAGCAGCGATAAATAAACACAACTTTTCGACTATTTTTATTTCGGCCTCTCTTATTTTATTTTTTTGCTCAATTCGGTTTTCCTCGGGCGGCATAACGATAACTCAATGGAAAAGTGGGTGCCATCGAGGCAATCTGGGTGTGGAGGGACTTTCCACTAAAAGTGTCACATTAACGAATTGTTTAGCTCCGCCACGGCTAATTTATGCCCCGCACTAATCGCTGGCCAGGTAGAATTGAATTTATTTGATTTGCCTATAAGCGAAATAAGCCTTTCACAAACACGCTTTTCATTGAGCGGAAAATCATCATCATCATCGGTGGAAACTCACCGAAAGGGGGGCGTGGCCAGCGGCGGCGTCCTTCTGCCTTAGACAACCGCCAATGTCGTCTAATGGCGGGGCGCGTCTAAAAATAGGAACCACTCGAGAGCACCGCCCGCCAGCCACTCAAAACGCAGCAGCCTCCGCGCTCCGAGAGGATCGCGAGCACATCTGGGGGCCCCGAGATCCGTGCTTCTTGGATATTGTCACCAAATGTCTTGCGTTTGCGGCGGACGGCGGTACGTACTCCCTGCAGCTCGCTAAATCGTCGTGAATCGGGAGTCTCAAGTAAAGTGGAAGATCATATTTTTAAACGTGATTAAAAAAATTGTGTAGTTTCGAATCCATCAAAACTTTGGTGTTTTTGAAAAATATAGTGAACGTGAGAAATATTCAGCTCCGGTACTGCAATTAGTTCTACTTAAAAACTTTTGGTTTCGGGACTATAAAATGAAACTAAGAAAACTGTAGTGCGACAGTGCATCTCTGCGATTATTTATCATAAACTCATTTGAGTGAATTTATAAAAATTTATAAGATCATCAATAAATTAAAAACAACCACTTGCTACTTGGATGACTAAAAATGGATTAAAAACAGCAGCCTTTTATAGAAAATTGTTTAATTTCTTAAATTTATCCTATCAACTTGAAACAAATACACCTGGAAACTTAAAAATTGTAACTAAACATACACCTAATTGTGGTATCAAAAACATAATTATATTTAAATTTATTAAAAGAGAAGTGTACCAAAATGACCAAATACAATAGCAGCAGTGAAATGCCCGCGGGTCACAACATCAAGCAGGAGTACAACAACAGCTATGGCCAGCAGTCCCATCCTGGCTATGGATTCAGCAATTATAACCAACAGAATCAGCTATCGCATCCCAGCCAGAATTCCCATCAGACCCTGCAGAATTTCTTCAGCCGCTTCAATGCCGTCGGGGATGCGAGTGCGGGAAATAACGGCACTGCTTCGATCTCCACCTCCGGATTGGGATCTTCCTGCAATTACAGTAACGGAAATCATCCGGCGGAGTTGGACAAACAGTTGGGCATGAATATGACGCCCTCGCCCATCTACACCACCGACTACGATGACGAGAACAGCAGTCTAAGCTCCGAGGAGCACGTCCTGGCGCCTCTGGTCTGCTCCTCCGCCCAATCCTCGCGACCCTGCCTCACCTGGGCCTGCAAGGCGTGCAAGAAGAAGAGCGTCACCGTGGACCGACGGAAGGCGGCCACAATGAGGGAACGTCGGAGACTGAGAAAGGTGAGGATTCATTTCAAGTAATAGCGATTTATTCCATCTTCTTTGTCCCAGTTTTATATCGGATTAATTCTTTTAAAAAAAATGCTAACTAAACTTTTAAAACGAACGTTGAAGTACAAAAATTTGTATTTATATTTAAAAAATACTACAAATATTAATTAAAAATTTATACGCCTATAGAAAAAAGTTATCTAAATTCATAACCTAGGAGAAATATTTATTTTTGTAAAGGATTCAGAGTTGGATCAGTTGACTAAAAGTGTTCATTGATAAATTTGCAAAGAATTCAGATAAAAAGGTTTTAAATTTAAAAAGCAAACCGAGTAATTTCTTAACCCATTACCAGATGATATTCAAAAACATTTAAAAGTTTTTTAAGAATTATTTTTCTGATTATAAATTAGGATTATTATAATGAAGATCTAGGATGCTAAAGAACTATATTATTTGTCATAACAGCTAGCCTTCAATACTTTTTTACTTAATCCTCGGCTGAATCTTAAAATAGTTTATTGTAATGTTGAAAATTCCGTCACGTTTAAGGACTGCAACTTTGTTGCAATGTCATTAGGGCCGCTAGCACCCCACAAATTAACACATCGCCACTTGCGTTGGATGGCCCGTACCACCAGGGAGGATCCGTGGACATAAAACGCAGAAAGGGAAACCACCCAACTAGTGTAAAACATAAAGATTTGCCAAGACCAAGAGTTAAACAGCGGCATTTATGAGTTCGACAATCGTAAAAGTTTTGGATGAACCACACGTATTTATAGCTCCACATAGAGACATTAGCAGAAGGGGAAATCAGAGGGGGGAAGCGAAGGCGGAAAGGGGCGGCTGTCATAAAGAGACAGACGACGGGCGAACGGTTTAATTGTTGAAAATTTTATGCTCTATTTAATTTAAAATATGTTTTATTAAAGAGCCACTTAAAGGGGAACACGCCTGGGGCTGTGTTTTTATGGCGCGCCTAATGGGTTTCCATGATTTCAACGATGGCCATTAATTGATTATTCCTCCCGCATTCTAGGTTAACGAGGCCTTTGAGATCCTCAAGCGACGCACATCGTCCAATCCCAACCAGCGGCTGCCCAAGGTCGAGATCTTGCGCAATGCCATCGAGTATATCGAGAGCCTGGAGGACCTGCTGCAGGTATGTCTTGTCTTGTTTTAACCTATCCCTATTTAAATAATAATCTATTTTTCTCTGGGACTTTAGGAATCCAATCCCACACGCGATGGCGACAACCTGGCGCCCAGTCTAAGCGGCAAAAGCTGCCAGTCCGATTATCTGGTAAGTTTTCCGCTGAACGCCAATTAATATTAAGCCCAGCATCGAGAGGAGGGGCATATCGTTCCGCAATTATTTTCTCGTAAAATTCTCATGCATGAGCAGCGCTTTCGTACATTTTTCTTTGGCGACGCGCACATTCATCAAAATCTCAGGGTCTGGCCGCCGCAGTGCCCGAAAACATGAAAATAGAATATATACAAATGGATCCCCGATCCCCAAAAGAGTCCCATCCGATATCTGTTGTATCTGCTGACCGGAATTTATGCGCTCGCTGACGTGCGACTTAATAAGCTCCTCTGCCAGGCCGTCCTCCTCCTTGGAGATTCACCCGATTACCGGGAACATTATGAGTTATGATTCTGGGATTCTGGAGGGAAGTTTGCCCAGATGGTGGGGTGAAAGTTTTCTACCAAAAACGTGAAAAAATAGAGGACAAATAGCCGGAGAATTTACGGCAGCCGGGAAAGGGTCGTTGTCTGTGCATTTAGTGAAAGGCAATAAATAAATTTTCTTTTTATAAGCCCGCCTGAAAATGGAATCGTGAAATCGTGTTGTAAATTAATTACAACAAATTCATTGGAGCAGGAGTCGTCATCCCCACCATGTTTGGTGGATTGCGACGATCGCCTTTTTCTGTTTCATAATAGTTTCCGTGCGCCGGGGAACAAAACCGTTGTGGCAGTTGACAAATTGCACAGGAAAAACATGACAAGATCTCGGGGTGTTCTTCTTCGAAAGGTGTTGCAAGACATGGCTTAAGTGTGGGGGAAATCCGGAAAGTGGGGCAACGGGAGCGCTATACCCCAACGTATACTCCCAACTGACAGGCCAACAAATTGTCAACAATTATGCAAACATTTTTGCCATCGCCATCGCAATGGCAATCGCCCCCTTTTCATTTCGGGCCGGCCTGCGTTGAGTAATTTCCATGCAGTTTGTTTAAGTTTTTCACATTTTTAATGTACAAATTTGTTAATTTACCATAAAACTTAGCATATTTGTATGTTGACTGCGCCCCCCATTGGCAGATATTAATGTGCGGCCATAGTTTGATTAAAAACTGGCACCGCGCCAAACGTGCAGACATTCAAATGCATTTCAGACCCTGGCAATCCATCCATCTCATCCATATCCATTCATTTGGAGCCAGTGTATTTATAAACGCGCTCGATTTAAGTACAAGATTTCCTTTTGAACTGTTTCCAAGTCACAGCGAAGTGTGCATCGCGAGTTCCCCATAAATTCGCTTATCGCGGCCAATAAATTGAAGTACTTCAGATATATGTACATGGCGTTAAGTGTAGCCGAATTCAAAAATGCCAGGCCGTCTATCAGTCAAAATTCTACGTAATTGAAGCCATAATCATTTAAGTGTTCAGATAGAAACTCTGGGTGCAAATGACTCATCGAAAGATGCGGGTAACGCGGGTGCAAACAGTCCATTGATAAACGTACCTGTAAGTGAGTCAGTACTCGATAGGGTTCCCTTCAATTGAGCTTTTTACGATCACAACAAAGGGGAAAATAAAAACAATTCAGAAATAGATAATAGATATGCTCGTGCACACTTTTGTTATCTTGTACTGACCTCACGGCTCGATCATTAGATAGTCAAATATTTCCCAGGAATTTAAAGCATTTTGGTAAGGCAAAAAGTAGGTACTTTTTTCGTTAGGGTCTTGTGATATAGTTGGTCTTAAGGTCTACGTTTCTTGGAAATTATAATTTGGGTAGATATTGGTCATAAAATAATATTTCCATCTGTTTAAAAATATGTATTTCAGGCTGCATTTAATTTGTACGTCACTAGAGACTTTTCACAAATGGATTATAAGATTTTACGAGTGACCGCAGAAGTCATAAAAATGTAGCAACCTCCCCGAAGTGGGTTTAGTTTATTAAAAGCATATTTCATGGTAAAGTTTCATGCTGCTTGTGGTTAACAAATCGCATAATGCCGCATATCCGTTATGTGCTCGAAGATCGGTGGAGAACTTCTAAGAGGAGCGCGCCAAAAAGCGGCTTAAGATCTTTACGCAACCCAAGAAACGGAATGCCCAAGTGATAAGTGGCATTTCATTCAGATACAACGCATGATATATGCTCGGAGAAATGAAATACACCGAAATACCATATAGTCATACGAACAAGTGCACCGGAAAAAGTTGTATATGTTTAAATACGAATTATACATTTTCAAAAACATATTTCGATCTTACAGCATCCCATTTATTATCTAATAATATTTTAATCTAGCCGTACATATACAATGTTAACCTAGAATTGAAATATATATAATTTAGCCTCATTTCGGGTAATTTTTCGCTGTGTATCAGTGTGTGAGTTGTCGCATATCGAGCGCAGGCTGTCACTAAACGCTTGGAAAATGATAAATCGCTTTATAAAAGTGCAGTGTGAGTTCGTCTGTTCTCGTTCAGTTTAGTTCAGTTCACTCGGCTCGGGTTGAATTCTGTTGTTCTGCTCCTCCGTACTTTGTTGTTTGCTAAATATAAACACTCAAACACCACGGGATGCTCTGTTTTTCCGATCCTTGTAGACGAAGTGACGGCATTCTGCAGTCGCACGGTGCAGATAGATGGGGGGATAAAGGAAACCCACCCAGAAGTGGCAATTATAATTTGCTTAGCATCGGCGTTAATGCGAATTTTTCTAATGAAATCCCGAGCGAATCTCCGGATGCCGTGTCGTCTGCGTATGCGCAGCAAAAATATAGCATCAAATTAATTTAATTGCTAATAAGTGTGCGGCAAAACAGCACACAATGGCCCACAAAAGTGCAGACAATGCGGTGGTTCAATGCATTTTAATTGGCCTGTGGAATCTTTACTTGCATAAATTTTGGCTTAATCTCATCATTAGACTGCATTTCGAATGGCACTCGTTGGCCAACTTGACAGGCCCCCGGAGCATTTTTGACGTTGTCATTTCGCCCCGGCGACACTTTTGTGTAATTTATTGTTTCCCCAATTTCGCTTGAGGCCAACTAAAAGTTTATTTCTTTTATTCGCTTTTTTACAGAGCTCCTATGCCGGCGCTTATCTAGAAGACAAACTGAGTTTCTACAATAAGCACATGGAGAAATATGGCCAGTTTACAGGTGAGATTTTTTAGATTTTCAGATTTTTCAATATACCTATAATATTTAAAAATTCCCTTAAATAGAATTTGATGGCAATGCCAATGGCTCGAGTTTGGACTGCTTGAACCTCATTGTCCAGAGCATCAACAAGAGCACCACGAGTCCCATTCAGAACAAGGCCACGCCCTCAACCGCTGATTCCAAGACGCCGCCCACATCTGGAGCCACTGCACCCACATCGCTACACGCGAACTTCAAGCGGAAATGCAGCACTTAGCATTAGGTTTCGAAACCCCCTAGGCAATTGTAAAGATATTTTTTAAGAGGATACACGAGATACCCAGTGAACCCGAATAGGCCTTAAATTATTTGTATAGCTTTAGTACTTATGTAATTAAATGGTAATTGAAAGCAGCACAGTAGAGTCTTTAACTTAGTCCAGCTCCAGTTTGCGGAAGGAGCCGCTCATCCCGTCCAGTTCTCCGTTGGCCCAGGCACTGGCCAATCCGACGCGGAGTTTCTCATTGGTTCCGTACTGGGCATCCTTGGCCAGGTAATCCTTGTTGTCCAGCAGCTTCTGGCGCCAATGATCGACGGACTCCGCCTGGTAGCCGTTGGTGCCGCCGTACTCGATGGTCATCGCATCTCTTGGAAGGTGCTGGTAAAGATCCTCCGACTTTTTGTGCACCACGAACTGTGAAGATTAAGGAAGGGGATTAAAATAAATTATATAGATATTTTTAAGAGCCCTACCGAACAAAAATTAATTAATACATTTTTGCGTATTTAATAGATATAAATATTATTTAAATCTATTAAATTTCCCACATGAATAAAAAAATTAAAACTGACAATGGAAAAGAGTATAATAATAAAGATAAATGAAATGAGCCGCTTTGTTTAAATTGTTTAAATTGTTTAAATAGTCTTTGATTTTTTAGAGGATATGTTCTTTTTTAATGACCATTATGAACCTTTTTACGAATTATATTGTTTGATAGAAATTCCTGCAATGACTCACCTTAAAAGGCAATTTGGAGGGTAAAAACTTAGTCACGAAATTGAAGATGGTCTGTCCCTCCTTTCGCATATTTATCATATGAATCTCCACAAATCGCAGTGGAATACACTGGTCCACCAAGGCGAACGCTTTCTTCAGCAGGAAGGGATCGTATTGCAGCATCTGCTCCATGGTCACATCCCGGGCATCCACAACCCAGACCAGGCCAGAAATCGAGGCATTATCGCACTCCAGAGCCAGTAGTTCCAGCATTATGAAGACCAACTTAAAGGCCTCGCGGGGATTTGACTTCTTGGGATCGATGTTCCGAAATTGCGAGATGATAACCCTTGGTCCTTCGGCACTCACTGGTCTGCTGGGTATCACATGGATCCTGGAGATTGGTATAGTAAATTAGATACTTTTAATTACACTGAGTTTTTAAACCTTCGACACAATATTTTTCAGTAGTCACGTTTGTTAGTAATGTCCATAGATAGTGAGTGCATAAATTATTTTTACCATTACTATGATAAAGACTTCAACAATTCGTTAGTTTGACACCACTGATTAGAAGCTCGAAATTTAAATGATTGGTGAAATAAAGAATTCTAAAAAATTATATTATTTAAGGACAAGAACCCACCCTCTCTGCAGCTGGGTGAGCAGGGCCTCGTCCACCTGCCGCGATCCCAGGACCTCGGGGAACACACTGCGCAGGGAGTAGTAGTTGTCGAACCGCCGCTTGGTCTCCTCCTGGCTGAAACGGCAGCGCCGCAGGAAGGCCAGGATCAGCTGCTCATCGGTGGGCGCCTTGAGGTGCGGCGACTTGGTGATCCACGTCTGGATGGTGGCCACAATCTCCGAGCGCTGGGCCTGCTCCTCGTTGCACTCGCTCTTGGCCAGAGCCGCCAGTTGGGGGTCGAGAGGTCTCAGTTTGCTCGCCATTCCGGCGCTCGTTCCAATGCTAACTGAATGCTAAAGCCACTGACGCACCGCCCTGGTCGAATTGGTCGAGTCGAGTCGCGGCGGTGGCGCTATCTAATCGGGCCAACACCTTGTAAACTAGCTGGAACGGCAACCCGAAACCCGTCGGCCGGGGGCAGATAGATATAGATACACGAGTGCATTGATAGATAATAAGTGGGGTGTTATCTTTAATTGATCGACTACAGCTACAGAGCCTGGAATGTGTGTTTATATGGGGTTATGCTATCGGTTGGGAAGACGGATACTAGATACAGATTTCCTGCTTCCGGATCTTAGTGTCAATCCCAGTTCAGGCGACGAAAGGAGCCACTGGCTCCGAATTCCGCCTCGTAGGTGGCTATCTCGCCGTGGCGCAGCTCCTCGATGGTCCCGTAGTTGACGTCCTGTTCGAAATACCCACGGTAGCTGTTCAGCAGGTCCTCCATGTAGGCCACGCACTCGCCCATGTGGCCGTTGGTGCCGCCGTACTCCTCCGGCAGCGAGTCCTTGCCAATGTGCTCGATCAGCTCCTCGCTGTTCTTCAGGACGCGTATCTAAAAAGGTAAAGGGATATTTAAAGGTAAATTTAAAAAAATATTTGCCCTGAATATTAAACCTTTTCTTTAAATAATAAGAATTTAGAAAATGTTTTTACTTATTGTAAATTTACTAACGGACCCTTCTTTCTTATGTTAAACTAAAATTTTCCGTTAGCCCCGAATTTCTAAAATTCATTCCGAATATTTTCATAATTTTTTCTCAAATATTGGGAATTTTGATACACACAAAAAAAACATATTCCCGTAAAATCGATATGGCCATGTAAATTTCAGGTCATGCAAAACCCATATCGTTTTTACATGAAGTACTCTTTTCGACCAGGTCAAATTTACCTGGCCGCATATCAAACTAAAATTGATCTAAAATAATCTAAAATCGATCATCGTTTCATATCAATTTTTTTTGGGTGTAGAAAAATGAGAAAATATAAATCGTTAATAAAAATAAATACTAACCGGATAATTAACCTGCATGCTGAGCACATTGTAGAGAAACATGACGGTACCCTGAATATCCTTGGGCATGTTGATAATGTACATTTCCTTGACCTTCAAAGGACTGCAATTATAGAGCCAGTTCCACCATTTGCGAAATAAAACCCTGTCGAATCGCCGCATCTTGTCCGAATTGACGCCCTCGAGGTCAATGATTTCACAGATTCCCGCCAGCGAGGCGTAGTCATTCTCCAGCGCTATCACCTCCATGGCCATCGAGGAAAAGTGATAGATCTCGCGCAGCATGTACAGATTGGGATCGAAGTGGCCAAATCGGGCTATGAACATGGCCGTGCGACTATCGCCCTTGGGCATATCGGGATAGAGGCATATTCTGAAAGGTAATTCGGGAAATTATCAGTATATTTTAGATTTCCTTATTGATTTCCCCAGCTTACCCCATTCGATTGATATCCAAAAGTCGTTGCGTAACACAGCGATTGTTCATAATTTCAGGAAAAAGATTGTAGTGGGTAAAGTAGCGGTCGATCCTACGCTTGGTCTCCTCCAAACTGTATCTGCAGCGTCGCAGGAAGGCAATCAAGAAGTCCACATCCGTACGGGCTCGCAAGTGCGGCTGCTGGCGAATCCAGACGCGCAGGATAATGATGTCCTGCTGAATCCGGTCGGGCGTCTCGTTCACCTCCTTTTCGGCCAACTTGGCCAATGTCGGCGAGAGTGGACGTCGCATTTTGGTAACGGCTATGCTCTGTTTGATGGCATTTGGCCCCAGCCATGATATATCTAATTTGCCTATTTCCCTCTCCATCCGATGGTGGGTGGCCCATAATCTAATCTTATCGATCGGCCGAATCGGATAGGGAAAATACACCCGCTTCATTCTCGTTATCTGCACGCATTTGTAACTTGCACTTTTCTCTCGAATCTCGGGAACTGGAATATTGGGATATTCCAGGGAGTCAGGGATGTGTACTATATATGGGATATTTGGGAATGATAGCGCACATCCGGCGCCTGTCTAAAGACATCTCTTAAGTGCCCTTCACGCGCACATTTGGGAAATGGTTGCAAATGCACTGAGATTAAATTATTTAAAAATAGGATATAGATATTGAAGGAAAACTTTTTTATTTAGAGCTCTGCAGAATATCTACACATGTTTTTAAATCAAGACTAATTATACATTTTCTTAAAAATATTTTTTAAGAGAAGATCCTTAAATTGGAAGCTTTATACTTGTAAAATGTTTAAAAAGTTTGAATTATAAATGGCTTTGTATAAATATTATAAAAAACAGAGGATTTTTATCAAGACTTCAACAATAACTTTTCCCAGTGCACGAGTACTCTCTTTTGAAATGCGATCTGCGTTTAATGCACGAAATAAATCTAACGCTAAATAGTATCCAGTTCGTCGGAGTCCGTATTGTGAGCATTCAATTTGAGTGCCTGTCAGAGGGCATTATACACCGACATCTTCTGTAGGTGGCGATGCGCTGTTGAAGTTGACATGGAACACCTACATACTGCTGGGCAAATTGCTGTGACATGGCGCTGTCAGCTGCTGACAAGCCGGAGATCGGAAGATCTGGAGATCTGTAGTAGATCTGGCTATTCGGGATCCCAGGAAGCGGATCATCTTCCCACTCCGCCAATAACTCATAACACATTATGGTCATGGGACTTGGGAGTTGGTACTTGGTATCCAGAGGCTGCGCTTTGATCTTCCTGCTGACAGGGCAGCGCGTGTAAATTCCCTTCGCAGCCAACTCATTGCTCATGACACAAACATATCGTTGCCATATTAATAATGAGCCTCATTAACAGCTCGCTGCACTGCACCATCGCACTCGACACATTGCCACTTTCTTGTGGGGAGAAAAGGGTGAGATATAAGTATATATATGTAGGGGGTATGGGTATGTAACTGACACACTCATTGCTGATAAGTGTATTTTGTTGTAAGCACTTCAGATATGCTCGCAAACCCTCGGATTGCATATGCTGCACTCGGCGAAAGTGATGGATGCCATAGGGAATCTTGACACAAAAGGGTAGGGAATTAATGCCACCGAGAGTGCCTTACTGACATCTCAATCTGTAATATTCTGTACTTAAGAGTTACTCTGGGCAATGGAAAATTTAAATGCAGAGGCTATAAAATAATTATCCAATCCAATGGATAGAAAAAATATATGTAAATTCTAAATAAGCGATTTACGGTTTATTCAAAGTATTATTAGAAAATGATATGCACATTTAAATTTAAATATTTATTTTGGTTTTCCAAATAAATAATTGGCACAGCAATTAAGTCTTTACCATAAGTGGTTTAAATAAAAGCAAAACGAGTAAGCAAAAATATACAAATAATTTTAATATTCATATTTAATTCAAAACAAAATGGAAGCGCATCGCTGCAGTTGCCACGACCAGCAGTCATATGGGTTTATAAACGTTTTATGTTTTAATTTATAGACTTACATAAAACGCCCCATTTTGTGCGCCAAGTGCGAGGAAGAGAGCAGGAAAGGCGGGGAAAATGGGAAAATGCATTTGCTAGGCGCTCAATTGACAATCATATTTATAGAGCATATTGAACAAATATACGAGAGGCTAGCAGCGCTATCCTAAAGATAATATTCAAGCGAGATGCATTTTTTCGGTTGGCCGTAGTTGTCGCTCGACTGGCAGTTGTCACTCAACTTGATCCGAGATATGTTCCCATATACTATATAGAACATGCATGACGTTTGTACTTTGCCGTTTCCCGTACCCTCAAAAGAAATACAAAATAGAAGAGGAAAATTAAACGGCAAATGAAATTTCATTGTAAACAGACGCGTTCCGGCAAATTGAGCAGCTTAAACAAATTTCCGCTGTCTCCGCATTGCATCCTTGCATTGCAGGCCCCATCTCTTCATACCCATTATCCTGCTCATCCTGTTGAGGACAATTTATTGGCTTCCGTTGCGTTGTTGTCACTTGAGCCTCAATTGGTCCTCTGGGCAGCGGCAGCTGGACTCCTCGCCCTGCCCCCTCCTCCTCCTTGTAGCCTAGTTTAAATTACTATATAGTTGGTTTGTAGTTCCGGGAAGGGAACTCTCATTTGTAGAGCACCGTGTGCCAGGAGCGCGGCGGCAGGCGGAGGTTGATCGGTCCTCGCTGGCTATCATTGAGGGCCACATCTACCGGCAGGTTCTGGCTACAATTACAAGATTACAAGAGCAGGGATTTGGAAATTCAGAATAAAAGTAGCCGAGTGCAGGGTCTCCATTAGAGACATTCATAAAACTAAATCGCAACGTTGTCGGCAATTAAGTTGACGCACTTAAGCGGCACCGTCGCAGATGCAACCCGAAATAGATGCGCCCAAAGCACTTGGAAAAATCACTCGGAAATTTAAGAATGTAGTCTTTAAGGGTTCATACAAAATAAATTGTCAATTTCCTTAAAAATTTTAGAATTACAAGAATTGAAATTTTCCCTATATAATAAATGCTTATTTATATAAATCTAACAAAAATGCAAGGAAGCTACATACGAAGTTGTAAACAAAGTTTTTAGAAAACAAAGTCGTTGACGCTTATAGAATTATTTTAAATATTTAGCATGGAATTGTGTTTTTCTAAATTCTATAATAAATCCCTCCTTTCTCGGATGAAATATGGTTTCAATGCTACAGTGGCTACGCCACTGGTCATGATAATGTAATGTTTCCTAACCGTTTTTCAAAGTGTTCTTGGTTTCTACTTTAGTTATACCATTCCCCGACTGCCCTAGCACTTACCCATTGTATATGATCAACGCCACACTGCCGTCTGGTCGCTGGAAGCCCACGACACTGAGTTGGGTGAAGGGACTGCCCTGGTTCTCGATTCGCGTCTCGATGCGCACCGAATGCGGCGGCAGGAACTTGGAGAAGTGCCCGATGGCATAGAAGATCGGCTGTTTATATATCTCACTGCGACTCGTGGCATTCACAATGATCGGAGCATCCACGAAGTTCTTCGCGTAGTTGGGACCGCCCTGTTCGTCCAGCACAAGATTCCAGTCCAGCCAGCCATTGACGTAGTGCCTCAGATCCTGGGTATAGGCCCTCATGTAGGCATCTCCGCGATGCCAGGCTCCCAGCATGGGACCACGTGTCTGCCAGAATTTTTCCCCGATGCAGGACTCCGTGTTCAATATCATCTTATTCGGCATATCCGTGTGCGCCATGTCAATGAGTTCTGGCGCAAAAAAATCATCAAAGTACCAGTGAACTGCCAGACCATCCAAATATGACATCGAATCGTTGCGGGCTGAGCGCATCTGAAGCATAAGAAAATAATAGACGATTTAAATACCTTTCCTTACTTTAATGAAAGATAAAAACTCCGTGAACCTCTCTGAACCATGAGGGAAACGTGTACCGCTGGTCGTCGTCGCCAAAGATGAGCACCTTGCTCTCCGCTGAGTTCCTGATGGTCGGTCCTAGATTGTCGCTCAGCCAAATAGCCTGGACCGAAAGAAATGTGCTTAACAGTGGCCACTGTCGAATAGCTAATGGGCCATACCTGCTGCGAGGGCCTCCAGCCCATGCATATGAAGTGCACAATGAAGAAGGCGATGACACCGTTAAGCGGCTCATTCCCAGTGGATATGGCCCAAATGGGCAAATTTTCAGACCGCATGAGTTCGAGAAATCTTAAAGAATATAAGTTCTTTTATAGATGGGGACATTGCGGAGAACATTCACTCACTTGAGGTGGTAGTTAGCCCAGGTCTGGTAATATTCCGATTTCAGATGACCAAATCCTGTCCATCGATTGTTGGTCTTCATCCAGCGTGGAGCACTCCAGGCGGCACCCATGATCTTCAGTTCATCCAGCTGACCAACAGTCTTTAAGCGCCTTAGCTGTTCGACTTTCTGCAGATCCCTCGGATCAAGGGAAGTAAAGTTAGTTAATTTAGGATCATCACGGGGCCACTCGTTGTAGGCCCAAGGTTCTAAGTCAAAGTCAGAACCTCCTATCGACATTCGCACACTGTTGTAGGCAATTCCATCGGGATGGTAATAGGATCTGTAATGGAAATGGTTTTTAAATGCGTTTTTCCTATTTATGATCCTGAAGCTCTTCTGGCAAGTCCTTGAGTAAATAAGAGACTGCTCCTGTTAGGGCTCCACCAAAAATGGAGATATTCTGAAATTGCTGCTCTCGTCTCACGGATATACGAAGTGTTTTTGTGTTGGTATTGAAAACTGAAAATGTAGTAATCACTTTAGATGGTTTTTTTAGTACTTTTTAGATTTCTTTATATACACAGGCGTTGTGAAATATTGGTCAACTGGAACCAGGCACGGGGCTCAGGATCCACGTCCTCATCAGTGAACTGTATATCATCCACTGTTAGGGGGTTTTCTTCTGAGATATACCCTGTTGTCTTCTTGAAGCGTAAGCCATTCTGTAAAAATTTCAAAATTAATTTAAAACTGAAGCTCTTATTTTCTTGAAAAAATAAAAACTTTTTATTTTAAAAGTTTAATTAGCGTGATCATAAAACTGAACCTATTCACTTTTAATGGGACCTACTTAATCGTGACCTAAAACGTGCCTAATAATGTAGAGCAATTATATTTGTCGAAGTGCTAGGTTGTGCCCGCGATTGCCGGCAATCCTGTGGATTCACCTTGCTGGAACTAATCACCACAATCTGGGAGTTATCAGTCAGTTGGGGCTGTTCCAGATAATCGCAGTAGGTGCTATTGCAAACACACACGCTTCCATGTTCCGTTTCCCGCAAATCGCACGGCAGTTGTTTCTCTAGAGCACCTAAAAATTTCGGGTCTGCAGGTAGGCATGCATTCATAAATTATAATATAATTATTTCCCACTCACCTGTGCAGATTACGATTAGCATAAAAAGAAAGCAAAGCAAAAATGACTTCATTTTTGCACTGCAGTCCACAGACAATGAGAATCGATCGAAGGTCTGGCAACAACTGAGCTCAAAACGAGATCTACCTCAATAAACAAGCAACTGAATTTCGCTCAATGTTTTCGCGCTCACCTGATTTGTTGATTGAATAAAACGGATGGACCGGCAAATAGCTATAATCACCAGTTTATTAAAATATTTAGCTAATTTCCGAATTTAATTTTTTAATTTAATTAAACCTTACCTTGTTAGTTAATCTACGATAATGTAATTTATTTCCACATTTTCCATTTCAATTTTTCCATTTTGTATACCTCTTCTAAAAAAAATGGACAACACAATTTCCGAAGCCGTTTAAATCTTATGTCAAAAACCTTTTAGTTTTTAATTTTATTTCTAAACTTATCAGCATTCAGATAAAATTTACAATTCAGAAATTTATCAATTTTAATTTGATAGGAATGGCAATCTAATTTAAATTACTTTATAGTTGGTTTGTAGTTCCGGGAAGGGAATTGAAGAGAACCGCTCTCATTTGTAGAGCACCGTGTGCCAGGAGCGCGGCGGCAGGCGGAGATTGATCGCTCCACGTTGGCTATCATTGAGGGCCACATCCACAGGCAGGTTCTGGCTGAAATTGCAAGATTTCAAGACCAAGGATTTGGAAATTTGGAATAAGTTGCGACTGCTCTCACACTTACCCGTTGTATATGATCAATGCCACACTGCCGTCTGGTCGCTGGAAGCCCACGACACTGAGTTGGGTGAAGGGACTGCCCTGGTTTTCGATTCGCGTCTCAATGCGAACCGATTGCGGTGGCAGGAACTTGGAGAAGTGCCCGATGGCATAGAAGATCGGCTGTTTATATATCTCACTACGACTCGTGGCATTCACAATAACCGGCGCATCCACGAAGTTCTTCACATAGTTTGGCCCGCCCTGTTCGTCCAGCACCAAATTCCAATCCAGCCAGCCATTGAAGTTGTGATTCAGATCCTGGGTGTAGGCCCTCATATAGCTCTCTCCGCGCTGCCAGCTTCCCAGTTCGGGGCCATGGGTCTGCCAGGGTTTGTCCCCGATGCAGGACTCCGTATTCAATAGCATCTTTTTCGGCATCTCCGTGTGCGCCTGGTCGATGAGTTGTGGCCCAATCAGCTCATCCCAGTACCAGTGAACCGCGAGACCATCCAAATATGATAGCGAATTGTTGCGGGATGAGCGCATCTGAGGAGGAGAAAATAATCTGCTATATAAATCAGTGGTGGCTAGCAGAAACAGGGCATGAAATGACATGCTGAATCTGTTATCTCGATTGTTTTGCTCATATAACAACATATCCACCTACCTTTCTGAACCACGAGGGATATGTGTACCGCTGGTCGTCGTTGCCAAAGATCAGCACTTTGCTCTCCGCCGAGTTCCTGATCGTCGGTCCCAGATTGTCGCTCAGCCAAATAGCCTGGCCCGAAAGAAATGTCGACATGCTTAATAGCCAGAATCGTGATCGATGGCCAGTGGCCAATTTCGAATGGCTAATGGCTAATGGCTCATACCTGCTGCCAGGGCGTCCAGCCCATGCTCATGAAGTGCACAAAGAAGAAGCCGATGACGCCGTTTAGCGGCTCATTACCAGTGGATATGGCCCAAATCGGCATATTTTTAGACCGCATGAGTTCGAGAAACCTGCAAGAATATCAGTTCGTTCATAGATGGGAATATTTCACAGAATATTCACTCACTTGAGGTGGTAGAGAGCCCAGGTCTGGTAATATTCCGACTTCAGCTGACCAAATCCCGTCCAGCGATCGTTGGTCTTCATCCAAGGCGGAGCACTCCAGGCGGCACCCATGATCTTTAGTTCATCTAGTTGACCAACAGTCTTTAAGCGATTCAGTTGGTCTATTTTCTGCAGATCCCTCGGATCGAGAGATGTAAAGTTTGTTAATTTTAGATCATCACGAGGCCACTCGTTGTAGGCCCAAGGCTCCAAATCAAAGTCAGAACCACCTATCGACATTCGAACAGTACTGTAGGCAATTCCATCAGGATGGTAATAGGATCTGTAAAGGGAATGGTTTAGAAATTAATGTCTCTTAAGGTATTTCCCATTTATAACCCACCTGTAGACATGATCCTGTAGCTCTTCTGGCAATTCCTTGATTAAATGAGAGACTGTACCTGTGAAGGCTCCACCAAAAATGGAGACATTCTGAAATTGCTGCTCTCGTCTCACGGATATCCGAAACGTTCTAGTGCTGGCATTGATAACTGAAATTGTATGATACATTTTAGATTTGTTTGTAGTTTTTTTCGGATTTCTTTAGCTACACAGGCGCTGGGGAATATTGGCCAACTGTAACCAGGCTCTGCTCTCCTGATCCACTACTATCGCCTCTGCCTTGAAGTTCTCATCAGTAAACTGTTTATCTTCCACTGTCAGGGGTTTTTCGTCTGATATATTCCCTGTTGTCTTCTTAAAGCGCAAGCCATCCTGGGAAAATTGGAAATTTAATTAAATAATTAAATTCTTTGAGCTCTGGTCCTTAAAGTAGATCATTTTAATTGTATTGAACTTTTCTTCATATAATAAAAATTTTTTTATTATGAAAATTTAATTCAACATTCATAAAAGCATGATAGGCTAAGCATGATAATAAAACTATACCATAATCACGAGTTCAATTGAATCAACTTAATCGTGACCTAAAACGTGCCTGATAATATTGAGCAAATGTATTTTTCGAATTGCTATTGTTGTGACCGCGATTGCCGACAATCCTGCTGACTCACCTTGCTGGAGCTAATCACCACAATCTGGGAGTTATCAGTGAGTTGGGGCTGTTCCAGGTAATCGCAGTAGGTGCTGTTGCAAACACACACGCTTCCATGGATCGTCTCGCGCAAATCGCAGGGCAGCTGCTTCTCTGGAGCACCTGAATATTTCGTTTCTTCAGGTAGGCATGCATTCATGAATTTTTTCCCACTCACCTGCGCAGATTACGATGAGCACAAAAAGAAAGCAAAGCAAATGTGTCTTCATTTTTGCACTGCACCCTACAGACAATGCTACTCGATCGAGGGCCTGGCCACAACTGAGCTCAAAACGAGAGCGACTCTGCTTTCGAATAAGCAAGCAACCGAATTTCGCTCAACTTGATGTTTATGTTTTCGAACGCCACTTGACCCGGGCTCAGCTGATTTGTTGATTTGATAAAGCGGCCGGACCGGCAAGTAGCTATAGTCACCAGTCGAGGCGATCCCACTTGGAAATCCGCGCACGCAATCAAAAGTAAAAGTTATGCAAACCCAGAGGCGGAGTGGGAACCCAAAGGGGGGTTTAAAAACAAAAACAGTTAGGAAATGCTTACCTTATTTCCAAAGTAGTATTTTATTTAAATTTTTGAACTTTTTAGAATAATAAGTGGACCAGTTCCGTCTAGATCTTATTTCAAAGACCTTAAAATTTGGATTTTATTCTAAATTTATTTGCATACAGTTGAGAATTACAACTCAGAAAAACAATCCAAATTTGGGTGATAAGAATAAAAATATAAATATAAAAAGCAAATGCAAAGTAGTAATTTTTCCAAATAAGAGTACCTAAGTGTAAGCTTTAGCAGATGCCATTCCGAACCAACTAAGGTTTTTTAAGGAATAGATGTTCTTCAGATATTTTAGCACTTCTTCAGTGCGCCACTCAGATTGGTTGTCTCGACAGTTGGGACAATCCTTTTCGCTAGGGAACTGAATCTTCGGGAATTGCGGATCCTCAGTAGAATCACCGGCCAACTGCTTGTTTATAAAATTGTGTAGTTTCCAAAGCCATAAAACCTCCTGGTCATGGGACCTTACGTTACGAAGTGGCCGGAGCTTCTTAAACTCCTTTAATTTGTCAACGCAGTCCTTGCAGTCCATGAAGAATTTGACATAGGCATTGAAGACTTGAACGACAGCACCCGATTTGAAGTTCGACTCCACGGTGAGATAGTGAAATAGTGTCCAAAGGGAGCAGCTGAAACCGCGCAAAAAAGGTTGAGAAGCAATGCAGCCAATATAGTGATTTCCATCAAATGGGTAGTTCCTCAATGCTTTGAAGACCAATTCCTCTAAACTAACCCCGGTAAGTCTAGTTTTAATTTTGGTCTTACTATATAGACTGTATAGTTTTTCTTTTGCCTCTGGTTTTAGAGGACTTAGGTAGTATATCAGCCTTAGAAAATTGTTCAGGACACTTAGCTTAATGCCAATAAAGTTTGATGTTCTGCGCAGTTCAACTTTAAGGATTTGATTAATGGCCCGTTCCAGATCTGCTCGATATACCCGATGAGATCGTCGATGCTTATGATGCTCCAAAATCTCGTATCGCAAGGCCTCATTGATGTTGGTGGGCAGGGTTTTTGGTAAGGGTTTATGCGGTTTATGGTCGGCAAACACAAGAAATTGCCTTATGGCACCCGCATAAGCCTTACTGTTATCAATCTCGGGCGTTAGGAACAGCGGTTTTATAGAGCGATTCAAGAGCACTATTAAATTAGGTACCGGTGATATGCCGAATTTAGAGTAAACCTCATGATCATCGAAGACGCGGATGACAACTTCATTGTAGGGCAGCAATTCGAGGAGAGTGTTCCTTCCAATGGACGAAACCACAGGATTGGCTTCATTACAATCGTCTATGGATGCAAATCTTTCCTCCATCGAATTCCCCGTTTCGAAGTGCGGCAGAAAATTGGAGAGGCACATTTGAAAGACCATGGCAACGTACTTCACGTGTGCGTTGTCCCGAAATATATCCGTTATATTGTCCTCCTTGGTAAACATTTTAAAGTACTTCATTTTTCCAAGGAGTAAGCCCAACTCCGACTCGATTTCCTTCACATTCCGACTGGTGATCTCGGTACCCAGATCGTCGGGATTTCGCTGGTAAGCCATGGGAAAGTATCGCAGTGTTGGTGTTCTACGGATTCTAAAACTTCGACAGATCTCATTGTTCTCGTCCTTCGAACAATCAAACACATGGACTTTCAGTATACGTCGCCACTTGTAGAGGTTACGCGATAGTTTCCTAAATGCGGGCATAAAGTCTTGGCTCTCTTTACAGAATCCATTGAAAAACTTTACCAACTTTCCCGCTGTCGGCTCACCAAGTCGAGTTTCAAATGTGGCAAAATCAAGCTGATACACATTGTCATCCGGATTGTAGAGTAGCTCTGTGAGTCCGGAGGAGAAGAGCAGGATGCACGATAAGAGTGATATAATATAACGATTCATTTCCAGACGGTGCTTACTAGTTTACTGGGCTACTGCAACTGATGGATAGCATCAATGGATCTACTTAGCTTTGGTTTAAGAACCGAAACGAATGCGTGAAAATTTCCATTCTGCATAGGCACGAATACTATAACACAATTAAAATGTTTCTCTGATTACAATACATTCCAAAAAGTATCTATTACCTATAAAAAAAAAATAAAGCTATGCTATTTTGGTTTAATTATCTAGAATTTTAGTTTTAATTTTTTTGTTTAATAAATTTTAATAAATTTTGATAAAAGCCCAAAAGTAAGCTGCAACAATTTTTAAGAGTTCATAAAATATTTTCACCACACCTTTTTTTGAAGACCGTTATAGACTTCTTAAATATAACTTACCTCTCGTTTTCATAATATATTATTTTATTTACTTTTACATAACCTTCAAGAAAAATTATCTCTTTTATATGTTTTTTGTTTCTTTTATTTAATGTTTTTAGTTTTCAATCATTAAGTTAAGAACAGAACGGTTTTAGCTGTACAACAAGGTGTGAATGGATTTGGCGGGAACATTAACGACGAACTGACCCCTAACACTATCCACCAAAGTAATGTCCAGATCGGCGCGACCGCTGTTAAAAAGAACGGCGGCGATTTTGTTATCCGGTCGCAGGAAAGCAACTGAATCCAGATTGACATTACTGGGAACGGCATCTATGCGAACGGAACCCTCGGGAACCAACTTGGAGAAGTGACCGATGGCGTAGAACATGGGCTGCTTGTAGAACTCCTCAAAGGCTGGAAGAAATATACGTTATTTAATAACGAATCAGTATATAATATTAATGGATTTCCTACTTGTAGTGTTGACTATAACTGGAGCATCCACCGTGTTGTCCACATAGTTGGGACCACCCACTTCGTCCAAGCAAATGTTCCAATCGATCCACGCGTGGAATCCCAACTTAATGTTCAGCAGGTAGTCACGGGCATACTTCTCGGCCCTCTCCCAACTTCCCAGAAGAGGAGCAGCCGCCTGCCAGGGTTTATCACCGATACAGGACTCGGAAACTATCAGAATCTTGTCGGGGGCATATTCCGTGGTGTGCTCGATGAAGCTATTGCCGAAAATCTCATCCCAATACCAGTGCACCGATAATCCGTCCAGATAATCAATCGAATTGGGCCGGGTATAGTTCATCTGAAAAAAGTACAAGCGATAAGAAATATAAACTTTGAAGTGGTGCTAATTAAATCATTCTTGTTTTTAGATTTATTACTGGGAAATTCTCTACTCACCATTTTAAACCAATGGGGGAAGGAGTAGCGTTGATCGTCGTTGCCAAACAGGATAATGTCCTTGAACTCAGAGTTCCGGATGGTGGGACCCAGATGATCGTTAAGCCAAATGGCCTGGGTCTGTGGCGTCCAACCCATGCTCATGAACTTGACGAAGTACATGAAGAAAATGCCATTGAGGGGTTCATTACCCGTGGAAATAGCCCAGATAGGGATGCCATTGGCCTCCATCAGCTTGATCCAGCGCAGATGATAGTCGGCCCAGGTCTGATAGTAGGCCCGCTTGAGTCGTCCAAATCCTGTCCACTTGCTGTTCGTCTTCATCCATGGCGGGGCGCTCCAGGCGGCTCCTTTGACGAGCAGATTCTTCACGCCGGACACTTCGATGAGGCGCTTGATTTGCTCCACTCGCTTCACATCATGGGCGTTCAGTTCATCCATATCCGAGAGCAGAGTGTTGCCCTCCTCCTCGGCATAGGACCAGGCCTCCAGGTCAAAGTCACACCCGCCGATGGAAACGCGCATAAGATTGAACCCCAGGCCATCTTCGGCATAGAAGGACTTGTACAGATGATCCGCGAGTTCCGTTTGCTTGAAGTTATCCACCAAATACTCTACTGCTCCGGTGTAGCTGCCTCCGAAACCAACCATCTTCTGGTGGGTCTTGCTGCGATCCAATCGCAGAGTAACCGAGCGAGTGATGGAGCTCTCTCGGGAATCCAGGGTAAAGGCACTGGCCACCACCTCATCGAAGAGGCGGGAAAAGATAGTTTTATTTGCAGTTTTCTCAGTGACCTCAGGCTCCACATAATCCTGCACCGTGACCTTCTCCTCTTTGCCGAATTTATCGCTGGTGGTGGAGAACCTTAGTCCCTGTTTGGAGCTGGAGATCAGGAACCACTCTGTTTCGTCCGTCAGCACGGGATTTTCCAGATAGTCACAGTAGTCCGCTGTGCAGACGCACACCTTGCCGTGCTTCTCATCCTTCAGTTTGCAGGGGACCGACTCTGAGTGGCCACCTGCAGGTTAATTTCATTTCTAATTTCGGTTTATTGACCAGCCTAAGTTTATTGCCACTTACCAATTGCCGATAGCAGCAGCACTGCCAGCAGCACCAGGATTCCTCTGCTGGCGAACATATTCCTAGTTGACCGTTCGCTCAAATCGCCACCAGTCGACTGAAAGTATTGGCCGCCTCTGAGGTTCCAAGTGGAGAAGGTCTTAGCCGTTTATCTGGCCACTTGGGGTTCTCCGACAAAAAAAGGGGCTAATACAGGAAGCAAAGGCGATAAGACCACTTGGCGATATGAGACTGAGATTGGCATCAATAGTATCATCATCAGCTGGGCCTTGATTTTAGATTTTACATTTATTTTGGGAACATGCCAATAGGTTTTCTCATTCTCTAGTTTAATCTCGTTCGGCAAACAACTCTTTTTGGAGTTTCAAAATTATACAACTTTTTCTAAAAAAAATTTTATAAAAAACCATATAACATGTCGTGTAATAGATCTATTGGTAAATAATTTTGGAGTGGTTTTTGGTGAAGAAAAGATTGAAATTGTAATTTTAGGGCCCGGACCTGGCGCCTATAACCTGCCCAGCTGTTTTGGCTACCACAACTGTGATAAGCGGATGCAGCGAAGCCCGCAGTTCTCCTTCGGGACGTCATCGAGGTCCTGTAATAGTGCAAGGAAAGTCGATGGACCCGGACCAGCTGCCTATCATCTGGGCAAGGTCACGCGATTTGGACGGCCTTCAGCCGAAGAGTACTCTATTTACCGTCGTCGTTAAATGGTAGAATAAATTGTCTAGTATATACATTCTTAGAAATTAGTTTTAATTATTTACCAATGAATTATTTTAACGGCTATCTAATCGAATAGCTGGAAATATTTGCCAGATTAGCCTAATCGATGTGCTAAGCTTAAGTGGGCGTAGATTACCGACTGTTAATGGCAAGTTTACAGAACAGGTGTGCTTTCGCCTTATCAAGTCTGCTGATTAGTCATTACCATTGGTTATCATCTTTTTGGTCACAGATTTTAACTGGTTAATGCTGGTTTATTTATGCCACATCTCGACTGAAAAATGGGTCAATATCATTGGATGCCCGCCGCACTCCCCTTTTTAAAATCAATTTTCAGTATAGAGGAAATTCATCACAATTTGGCCGGGACTAAATTTAAACGGCAAAAAGTGCAATGAAACGGAAAATGTGACTAAAGGCTAAAAGTCCATAGCCTGCTTATCGGGGCGGTGGCAAACACTCGCGCTGCCGGGTCTTTAAGCCAGAGCTTTAATCTCCATCTCACCATCCTATCCATCCATATCGAGGGGGTGCTAATAATACTGAATCCCATGTCGAAGCTTTAAAGCCATGTGTGTGCGGCTGAGTTTGGTGTTAACAAAAACTATTACCAGTTCAATAGCAAAATTGAAAAAGCCTTTTTAGTCTGCAGGATATTGTAATGCTCTAACTTTCCTGGGAAATGTAAAATATATATTTAATGGAATGGAATTATAATTATAATTATTTAAAAATATTTAAAACAAAGCCATGTTTGACTTTGTCAATTTTTTAAAATGTTTTAAAGTTCGAAATTTAAACGTACATGAAAAACACCATTAATCTTTTTTTTTTAAATATTAAGCTATAAATAAAAAACTTTGGCATTAATTATCAATTATTTTAAATATAAGTAAGTTTTTATTATAAATTCTTTTAATAATATCTAAGATAGCATTAGGCTTTTATTATTTTTTCTAGCTTAGTAGACCCAAAATCGGTTTAAAAATATTTATAAAATCACATACCCTCCTGGAGGTCACCATCAGAGAGCCATGTTCGACACAAACAGAATAGAATGGCCTGGAGTGGGATCCATCTGGGTTGACTGGCTGGTTGCCTGGCTGCCTTCGGCCTTTTGGCCATCTGCTCGGGCTGCTCACTCGGCTCGTTTCGCCTGCCGTCAATAAAATAGAACGGCAACTTGTCGCCGCCTTTCAATATTCGCGCATACGTCGTTGGGGCAGCACCACCACCTGTTGGCTCCGTGTAGATACATTTGTGGCGCGAATCCGGAGCCATATGGCAGCCTAAATTGGCGCTATCTGAGTTGTTCAATTAGCCAAACGAGCGCTCGCCATGTCGGAGAAGTCGAATCGCGGCCAGAACCACTCCCGATCGGAATCGCAGGCGGCTGCCCAGCTAAATGCCTCCGGCAGACGCAGCTCCACTCCGTCCGGGGCGAACGGCTCCTCCAATCGCTGCCTGATTGCCGTGATTGTCTACCTGGCCCTGCTGCTAGATAACATGCTGCTAACCGTAATTGGTAATGGGCCGAATCAATTACAGATAAGCGCGGTAATAAACGATAATTATCGCCCTTTGCAGTGCCCATCCTGCCGGATTACTTGGCCAGCCTGGAGCTGGATTCCTCGTCTTTGCCGGTGGTGCTCAGTGTGGAGAATACATCGCTATCATCCTCGAAACTGGCCTATCGAGCGGGGGATTCAGCCGGCGGCGGACATCCGCAGCTCTACATCTCCAAGCATCCCATTCCGGGCAAATCGATGGTAAACTTCACCCTGCTCCAGCTGTCCACCGAAGCCACCACCACCACAGCGACCAGCACTTTGCCTCTGAAGCTGACTGATGGCCAGTCGGGCGGCACTAATGTCACTGGAATTGGAATTGGCAGTGGGAGTGGCAGTGGGAACAGGAGCAGGAACAGGAAGCTGGCCCCCGGCAGTCCACCCACCAACAAGGAGCTGACCTTGACGCAGGAGAACAGCTCCATCGGCCTGCTGCTGGCCATGAAGGCCCTTGTCCAATTAATTTTCAATCCGATTGTCGGCAACGCGTCCAGCAAGTTTGGCTACCGCCTTCCCATTGTGGTGGGCACCTTCTTCCTGCTCCTCTCCTCGCTGGGTGAGTGATCTATTTTCAGGGCATCGATTGGGGTTCACTAATGGGAAGACAACTCATTAGGTGGCTGAAGAGAAATTGAAGTTTAAGCAATGCAATCTTACTTAAGTTTTATTTTAATTGACCGCAATTCAAATCACGATTCTAGAATATGTATATTTAAAGTATCTGAAAATTCTAACTTCAAGAGAATATTTTTTTACGGACAGCTACAGAAAAATGGACAAAAGTTCAGATTGATATGTGCTGGTCAATTTTATATTTTTTAAAGATCAAGTTAATCATATCATTTTGATATCAATTAAGATTATGTTTATCTTATTATACATTATTTGTTAAAAAATACTACATTTGGTTTTTTATGTGATATGATAAAATATCATGTTGATATTTTTAAATCATAAATTTAACATAAATCATATCGGCTTTATATTGATACGAAATAAGGTCGAATTGACCATATTTCATATCGAATTATTTTTTTGTGTAAAGGTTTTTTAGTTTCTTTTTTTATTATTTAAGCTATAACCTGTATACACATTATAATATTTTATAACTATTTATTTACTCCTTCAGTGTTCAGCATTGGCGAATCCTATTGGTCCCTGCTGGTGGCCCGGGCGGTGCAGGGCGTGGGATCCGCTTGCATCAACATCTGCGGCATGAGCCTGGTGGCCCAGCACTATCCGGAGGAGGCTCGTCGCTCCAAGGTGATGGGCATCATCCTGGGCAGCATCGCACTGGGCGTGCTGCTCGGCTATCCCTTCGGTGGAATTCTGTACGACCTGATGGGCAAGTCGGCACCGTTCATCATTCTGTCCACGCTGATGTTCCTCAGTCTGGGCCTCCAGCTGCTGACCATGGATCTGTCAGTGCAGCCGGAGGTGGTGGTGGAGGAGTCACCCAAGTGGCGGCCCCTACTCCAGTGCAAGATGATCCTGGCCATTGTGGCGGCCATTTGGTTCTCCACATCCACAATGGCCATGCTGGAGCCGTGCCTGCCCCTCTGGCTAATCCAGTATCTGAAGCCGAATAAGTGGCAGCTGGGCACCGTCTTCATTCCAGACTCCGTGGGCTATTTTGTGGGCACAAACTTCTTCGGCAGCATTGCCTATAAGTATGGTCAGGTTAAGGTGTCCTGCATCAGTTTGCTGCTAGTGGGCGTGGCCTCCATTCTGGTGAGTTACTATAAAGGATTTTTATTTAATTACTCATTATTTCTTATTCATATTCAGATACCCAGTGCCACCACGGTTGCCCAACTATTGATGCCCCATTTTGCCCTGGGTCTGGGCATTGGAGTAATCGATGCGGCACTGGTTCCGCTTTTGGCCACTTTTGTGGATGCCACACTTTCCCAAGAGGATCACAGCGAGAGCAGTAGTTCCATGTCCAGTTACGGAACAGTCTATGCCATCCAGCAGACTTCGGTTAGCCTGGCCTATTGCTTAGGTGAGTTAAGGAATTTATTATAATTTTTTTAGGATTTATTAAAGATTAAAATTTTACCAGCTCCCCTCATTGGTGGTGAGTTGGCACAGACCTTTGGTTTCGCCTGGCTAATGCGCATCGTCGGCCTCTTCAACATGATCTATGGTCCAATACTGGTCTACTTGTACCAGAAATACGATCCAAAGGTAACATATTTCATTCATATTAAAACAAAGAATTTATAATCTTTTTATCCCATTATTTTCCAGGCCCTGAGAGAGCAGCACAATGATATGCTGCTCCAAAGCAGCGGACGTGGATCTCGATATAAACAGCTCTACAACTCCATGGATGTGGAATAGGCTGCACTGCCCAGTTGTCCGAATTAGGCGTTCCTTTGGCTCATTAAAGCAATATATTTGGAGCTGATTTTTTGTAAACCATTTGAGCCCTTCAATACCCCATAAAATCCGAATCTCCTATAGTTAAAATCACTTTACTATGTTTCAAAATAACTTAGGTTTATATGATAAAATTTTCCGATTAAAATCTACTATGCAAATATTATTTTCAAGATTGAAATTCAAATATTTAAATTTCTCCAACCAAGTGGGCTTTGGATTCGCCTTCGCCCCCAGTTGATATGTTGGGGTCTAGGGAAGTCTCATTCTGTTTGTAGAATCCTTTCGGCAAACACCTTTCAGTAGGTTCAAAATTTAGTTCTAATATTTTTTCTAATATTGCACAAAACTAGCTAAAAATGGCGGTGCGACCTTTTGGTGAGTGAAAATTTTATTGTAATATAGAATATGATGTGAGGGAATAACCCTGCATTAATTTTCAAGGCCCCGGACCCGGCGTCTACATGCTGCCACCCACTGTGGGCTATGATAAGCATGATAATCGCAAACAGCGGATGCCACAGTACTCCTTCGGCATGCGGACGCGTGCTCCTGGCGAGGATCTGGGTCCTGGTCCCGGGGCCTACAAGGTGGACAAGCTTACGCGCTATGGCGCGAGCAAGGGACTGGAGTTCTCCATAGCACCCAGGACCAACACAATCGGTGAGTCTGTTAGGGAAGGTCAAGTATTCCAAAGGAAGAGCTGATATATTTCCTATATTATTGTAGACAAGCGAAGCAGTCCCGGTCCCGGAGCTCACGATGTCCACAAGAAGCCCTTCTTCACGGGGGTCAACGCTCCATCCTATTCGATGGGTCTGCGAACGGACTTTAATTTCAAAAAGGAGGGTCCTGGTCCCAATGCCTACAAGTACGAGGTGAACGCTGTTCGCCCTGGAGTCCCGAGCTATAGCATGTGAGTATCCAAGTCAAATCATTGGGAATTATCTCCTAGCTTTTTTACAACTTTCTTTTCAGGGGCCTGCAAACAAAGATTCTTAACAAGACCAACTCGCCGGGACCGGCTGCTTATGGTGGCGGTGATATCAATGTGAAACTAAACCGAGCCCCGATTTACTCGATGCAGCCGCGTACCGCGATTCCCGGCGAGAACGTAGGACCCGGACCCAACTACTACGACCTTATGTACTATCGTCCTGGCAAGAGCGGGCCGGGCTACTCGTTCGGTGTGCGCCACCACCAGTTCGCCCCGCCCATGATAGTTAAATGTGACAACATGTAGAAAAAAACGTGCAATATTAGAAGAAATGTTCAAAATTTTAGTGAATAAAAAATTCTTTTGATATTATTTCTGTTTGTGTATAAATTGTAGTAAATCGTTTCAATCGTAGTAAATCGTAGTAAATCGTAGTAAATCGTAGTAAACCGTAGTAAATCGTAGTAAATCGTAGTAAATCGTAGTAAATTGTAGTAAATTGTAGTAAATCGTAGTAAGTCGTAGTAAACCGTAGTAAATCGTAGTAAACCGTAGTAAATAATAGTAAATCGTAGTAAATTGTAGTAATTCGTAGTAAAACATAATAAAACATGGTAAAACGTAATAGAGCGTTAGAGATCTAAAAATGAGCGAACATTTTTAGTATTTTACCGTTAAACGTCCATATTTCGCGGATTAAAGCCATCTAAACACAAATATTAAATTTTTATACCCGTTACTCGTAGAGTAAAAGGGTATATTAGATTCGTGCAAAAGTATGTAACAGTTAGAAGGAAGCGTTTCCGATCCTATAAACTATATATATATTCTTGATCAGGATCACTAGCCGAGTCGATCGAGCCATGTCCGTCTGTCCGTCCGACTGTCTGTCCGTCTGTAAACCGTAGTAAATCGTAGTAAACCGTAGAGAATCGTAGTGAACCGTAGTAAACCGTAGTCAATCGTAGTAAACCGTAGTAAATCGTAGTAAATCGTAGTAAACCGTAGTTAATCGTAGTAAACCGTAGTAAAACGTAGTAAATCGTAGTAAACCGTAGTAAATTGTAGTAATTCGTAGTAAAACATAATAAAACATGGTAAAACGTAATAGATCGTTAGAGATCTAAAAATGAGCGAACATTTTTAGTATTTTACCGTTAAACGAGCGTTAGAGATCTAAAAATAAGCAAACATTTTTAGTATTTTACCGTTAAACGTCCATATTTCGCGGATTACAGCCATCTAAACACAAATATTAAATTTTTTAACATGAAAGCAGCAGGCTTACTGTTGGTAAGTTTGAATTTAATTGCACGCAAATTCAATCGTAGTAAATCGTAGAAAACCGTAGTAAATCGTAGTAAACCGTAGTAATTCGTAGTAAATCGTAGTAAAACGTAGTAAATCGTAGTACACCGTAGTAAACCGTAGTAAATCGTAGTAAACCGTAGTAAATCGTAGTAAATTGTAGTATACCGTAGTAATTCGTAGTAAAACACAGTAAAACATAATAAAACGTAATTAAACATAGTAAACAGTTGTTTTCCTTTGTATCGGTTTCCCAATAGCATTTTAGTTTGATGGAATCGCTCTGCTTGCTCATCCGATTCCGTAGGCGATTGCAAAATTGATCCAAGTGATAATGCAGAAAGTCCATTCGTAGCGAAAACCATTTTGTTTTAAAGATGATTACTGCTTTTTGCGAATTTAGTTCAGTCTGATGCATTTGCTAGGAAAATTTTCAAAAATTATATAACCTTAGGAAAAATAATGCACCAGTCTATAAACTATAATTGCGTGCAATTTAATTCATAAATTAAAGTTAAGTTCGCCTGCGACTATTTATTAACTACCTTAAATCTGAGAAGTCTTTGAATTTGTTGTCATGGCTGGAAGTTAATTTAGTACACAACATAAATTTTGGTGGAGAATAATATAACCCAAAACTATTCACTTATATTTTTATAATACTGACCTGGTATTCGAGAGAAAAGCGTTGAGCCTGGCTCCGGACAAGAGGTAATACAAATGGAGGTAATAAGGAAGTATTTCAGAATGAAAATCATTAAAATGATTACCCGCACTGTTTTCGACGCTCTTTTCGTACTGCAATAGGAGGTTTATTAGAAAAATCGGAAAACTCCATCAAAAACAGGATAATGTATTTAGGAAGTAGTACTTTTGATTGCGCGGGCATTTTGCGCGTTTGTTACAATGGTTCGTGTCACCGCTAAATGGTAAATGGAAGTCAGAACCATCGATTTTATCGAACCCTAACCCCGGGATTTTTCAGTCACAAAATTCATTTTCTCCGAGTTTCTCGTTTTGTTTGTAGATTTTGTCTGTTTTATTTATAGTTTTTTCCGAAGAAGTTGGCAAGAGTGGCCAAGCAAATTGGTAGATTTGCACAGCCCGTAAATTAGATGTGTGTGTTAGAGGGTCGGCGTGTGTAAATTAGTAAACAGTTCACCACCGAACAAATAGCAGAGAATTCGCCACGCAAAACTCCGGGCACTGATTTTCGACCTTCCATGTACCCAGTTCACCATTGGTAACATGATGAGCGATGTGGCGGGTGCTGCCGCTCCAGGTGGCGCCCCAGACCAGCAGCAGCAGCAGGACACGCAGGAGCTTGCTCCGCGAACACCGACGGCGAAGGATCCTCGTAGCTCGCAGGACCGCGCCAAGTCACCGCCTCAGGAGTCCCGGCTGCCGACAAATTCCCACACCCACTCCCGTCGCACGGGCGGTGGCCAGGTGCCCTCCAAGAACCAGGCGGCTGGGAACAACGAGTGCCAGTTCTTCTTCGAGGACGAGGTGTTCCGCATCGACCGACGGGGTCGCGTCCACTTTGGCGTGGTAACGGAAACGGCCGAGTCGTACTCCTCCGACGAGGATGAGGAAATCGACGATGTGCTGGGCAAGGGCGAGGTGCGCGTGGCCTTCTATCCGGATGGCAAGGAAATGGTGCAGACGGAACAGTCGGTGAGTAGACTCCATTGAGGTTATGTAACCGCCAAGGTCCCCCCCAAAAAAAAAGTAACTGTTTTCACAACTGTTTTGCGTTTGCTCTTCACATTCTTCGACACGTGTTTGTTTGCTTCTTTTCTCATCTGTTCTTTTTTGATCTACTCCCAACCATGTGGCAAATACACAGATTGGACTGGCGGATCGGACATTAATGCCGGGGGATGTGGTGCGAAGGCGTCTGCCTGGGCAGAAGGATCTGGTGGGACAGGCCGGTTATGTGCGGGATGTCAATGTGTGCGCCGATGTCACTGTGCTGGGCTCCAGTTTGGTCATCAGGAATGTGCCCGCCGAGCGACTGCGTCCGATTTCCGAGTGGTCCCGGGATGTGCCCGTCTGCCTGGGCACCTGGATAGGCACCACCGTCAACGTGGATGAGTGTGCCGTCCTGAGGTACTTTTATTTACCCCATTATCCCCTTGGTAAACCTCATTTTAACCCTTAACCCTTTTTTAGATCCAGTAATGGCGCCCGCTTGGAGATCACCTCCAATGATTTTCACAAATTCAAGGATGCCGTGTCCCAGTGCGCCCGCGAGGTCTTCAATCCCAATGTTTACTTTCCGGGCAACGTTGTGGTCGGAAAAATGCCGCCTCCAGATCGCGTGAAGAATCTAACTCCGGATATTACGCAGTCCGTAAATCGCAAGGGTCGTGCCATGGTAAGATGATGTCATATCCTAGTTATAGCTATTGATCTATCAATAGAAAGTTATTGGTTATTTCCATTTAACCTTATTTTTATAAGGAATACTACATTAAGAACATAGTATTATAAATAGACATCGAATTTAAGGTGAAATAGTTTTTTTAAATGCGATTTAAAGCCACATTTGATTGGTTACAAATTTTATTTATTAAGTTATAATTGAGGTTTTTGTAAAAAAAAATGTTAACCAATCAAATGGGGCTTTTAATCATATTAAAAAAAAAAGATTTCACCTAAAATACGATGTCTAATTGTATATAACTTCATTTAATTAACCCTATTTCTTCAGTACACCGTTGAATCCATTCGCACCACATCCGTTAATGTGGCCTGGACCTGCCGGGGCATCTCGCAAACCGACAATGCCTCGGATGTCGATCCCCTGAAGCAGCCAAAGACCACCATCAAGGGTGAAGACCTGAGCAACGTCAAGCGCCTCAACATCTATGAGTCCTACGTGCTGCAGATTCACGATCGGTTCTACCTCAAATATTCAAAATGTGATCTATTAGTAAAATACGCCGACTGGGAAGATGAGCAAGGTAGCGTATTAATAATAAACTTGAAAATATAATAAAATAATATATTTAATCCATTCCAGCGGATAAGTACATCCCCATTTACCATACCCAGAAGAAGATGGAGCGCAAGGTTAGCAAACTGAACTCATCGGCCTCCAGTAGTGGAAATTCGCGCGGTGTGCCCAAGCTCCGTCGCCTGGCCAACAAGATTACCGGCTTGCGGCTGCCTCGACCGGCAATAGACCATTCCGCCAAGGCCTCCAACCGCAGCAAAGAGGACATGTTGACATCTGGGGATGAAGATGAGGAGGAGGAGGTTGAGCCTATCCAGCCAACTGAGCCAACGGCTGCTCCCGAAAAGGAGGGTGAGGAAGCAGAATCTCCTTCGGCTGCCTCCACAGCAGCTGCTGATGCCGGCGCCCAGGCTCCCAGGATAACCATGCGGTCTGCCAAGCGGCGACATGTTAAGAAGAAAATGCGCACTGTGCGGAAGCTAATGTCGCTGCCGTTCACCAAGAAGGAGACGGCTCCCAAGGATGGCGACGAAATCGTGGTGGAGACGCTGGTCGTGTACAGCTCGGTTACGGTCGTCTGGCAGGATAGCTCCGTTGAGACGGGCATTCACTCCACGCAGCTCTATCCCATCCATCACTTGGACAACCACGAATTCTTTCCTGGCGACTTTGTGAGCAAGGCCAACGAGAATATCACGGGGACCACGGAGTACGGGGTCATCCAGTGCGTGGACCACGATGAACGCATTGCCAAGGTCACGTGGTTCAACAGCTACTCGAATGTAGATAATCCAATGTGAGTAATTCAGACTTGATTTAAGATTTAAGATAAGACGACTCCCAATGTTCCTTTTTCTTACAGTCCCTTGTGCAAGAACACAGAGGAGCTCAGCGTTTACGACTTGAAGGACCACGCCCACTACCAATACCGACCCGGCACCATGGTCATCCGAGTGTCCAACTTTACGAACGAGGATGTCGACTCAACTGCTGGCCAGGTGATTGACAACTTCCCCGACGGACGGGTGCGGGTTTGGTGGGCCAAGGGGCATATCACCATGTGCTACCCGCAGGATCTGTTCGAGATCAACCACAACGATCAGGAGCACGACGGCTTCGAATCGGATGGCTCCGAGGACTCGTGGGAGACGCAGTCCGAGAACAGTCGCGTAGGACTCAATCTCAGCCTGTCGTCGCTCGACAACGAAGATAACATCATAATGGGAATCGATAGAGCCACGGAAGCCATGAAAATACTGGATAAACTCTACCGCGTCCTGCCTGCCGATCGTAAAACGGAGGTGCTTTCCCACCTGCTGGATGTGTACAAAAACTGCAGGGGTCTGGACCAAATGCTCACGACGAACTTTTTCGATGATGCCAACTTCCAGGGCATCGTGCGTCTGAAGAGTGGCTCCGCTGACATTTGTCCCGACTGCGCCACCGATGAACACCGTGAGGAACAAATTACAGAGATGTTGGTGGCCATGACTAATGTGGTTTCTGTAACGATCAACCTCGATGTGGACGCTTCTTCGTCTCTGGTTCCGGCTGGACAGTCTACATCGACACCAACCAAGCGAAAATCCTCAACGGAAGTCGACGAAGTTCAGTGCAAAAAGAGCACTGATGAGATCACGGAAGCTCCGGAGAATCTGACTGAAGTAGCACTGGCCGATGAAAGTGAGGAAAGCATGCCCAACAACCAGTTAATAATTAAGTATCGTAGTGAGTTCCACATAATGTTCGGCCGCGCAAGGGAAAGCATTGCCAAAGCGTTTGAGAATCGCACCAAGGTGAGTAATACTAACTGAATACCATTAAAGTTTAATAGTTTCATACTTGCTTTTCAGAATGATTCTGGCGTCCATTCGCGGGGTGAAAATACCTCGGATGAGTCCAATAATCCAGACAGCGAAAACAAATTGGCTGAGGAGTCGGGAAAAATTAAGCTCAACATTTTCTACAGGGAAGATCCTGCCATTGAATTAGTTGCCAAACGAGCAGCTGACGTCTGTGAGGTTTTCAGTTTTCTGATCAAGGAACAAATGTCCAAGTGTCGTGAGCTGGTAGTGCAGACGGGCAGCAAGGCGAAGAGCGATCCCAGGGACGACGAGGTGAGCGATACGGAGGAAGCGATCGAAGCCATCGAAGAAGCGGCGGATGAGGATGGGGAACAAGAGCAAGCAGATGACGAGGCCATGGAGCAGCCGTTGAATCTGAACGCCCTGTCCGAATCGCTGCCGCCCATTGACAGTCCCATGGCTTGTTCCTCGCCCTCTCGTTCTGCCATCCCGGACACGCCTCCCGTTTGCGAGGATTGCTTTCAGGTGCTGCCCAATGCACCGGCTGCCCATCACTTCATCAGCAATCTGGTGACCCCGGCCAACAAATCGCAGTACCAGCGAGCTGTGCAGCGGGAATACCGCTTGCTGAAGGCTTCTCTGCCCGCCGGCGTTGTGGTCCGCGCCTACGAGGATCGCATGGACCTGATGTCCGTGATGATGGTGGGTCCGCAGAACACGCCCTATCAGAACGCCCTGTTCTTCTTCGACTTTCAAATGGGCCGCGATTATCCGAAGAGCCCGCCGGTGTGCCACTACATCAGCTACTGCACGGAGCGCCTCAATCCGAACCTGTACGAGGAGGGCAAGGTGTGCGTATCGCTGCTGGGCACCTGGTCGGGTCGCGACAGCGAGGTGTGGCTGCCCAGCAGCACCATGCTGCAGGTGCTCGTTTCCATACAGGGACTCATACTGGTCGATGAGCCCTACTATAACGAAGCGGGCTACGAGAAACAAAGAGGTAATTTAGAATTCAAATTTTAAGGCGTATAATGGCACTAAAAACAATTTACTTGCAGGCACCCAGCTGGGAAATGAGAACTCTCGTGTGTACAACGAGATGGCCATCATAAAAATAGCCCACTCCACGGTGAAGCAGCTGACGAATCCGCCGCTCGTTTTCCGCACTGAACTGATTGATCACTTCAAGCAGTTTGGCAGCGAGCTACACGGCCGCATGCTGGCCTGGGCGGAATATTCCCTCGAAATGCAGCGCCATAAAATAACCAGCATCAAGGGTGAGTCTCGAATAAAACAGTTTTGCCGGATGATTCATAATCTCGCCTCCTTAGATATGCCCGCGGATTACCAAGCGCCCTGCGAGCTGCCCGAGTTCCCTCTACTGCCCTGCAGTCGTGGCTTTTGCATAGCGGTCAAGCGCGTTTTGGGCCAACTTGAGAGCGAGCTAACTGCCCTGGGAGCCAATATAGTTACGGATGATCGAAATGGTGTCGCCGCGGGAATGGGAACTGCGCCGCGCGCCGCTCCCGAGGAGATCTGAGTGCCGCTCGTCCTGTCCTGTGAAATTGGTGCCTATGAGAAGAGCCACAAGACTTTTGCCGCCTGCGCTTGGGAGTCTCAACTGGCAGCGTTTTATAGCCACTATCTAGAATCTCGAAACTCGAATTTTTCTCTACTCGTATTGCTGGCAGGCAGCCTTTTAGTTAAACGAAATTTCCTAAAGTTATTCGTTGTTAGTTTTCCACAAAAAAAAAAAAATATCATAATGCTGAATTATATATATATATGCATTGCGCGCAACTAAGCAAAATGGTAAATGTCAGTCAGTCAAGTTTTATTTATTTTTGTTGTAAGGCCAGCAAACAAGTTGTATTTAATGTGTTGTTCCGATAAATGTGGTCGCTGGCCTACGCGAATCTTTGTAGGCATTCCACTAGAGCTTAGCTTAGTTAGTCTAACCCCCGCCCCCCCAGATCAGCACCCCATGTACGTAATATTGTAAGCTAGCCAATGCGAGAAATGTGAATAAATTAGCAATTTTATTTATTATGCCTCCAACTTCTGCTGTATCCAATTGACGAAAGCCCCGGTGCGGGTATAGACGCCGGGCCAGCCCTTGAGGCCGCAGGGCTTCGTTCCGTAGGAGGTTACCCCAGCGATGTAGAAGACATCCCGGCCGCCGGTATTGATGTACACCATCAGGGGACCGCCGGAATCGCCGCCGCACGTGTCCTTTCCCGCCTGACCACCGGCACACAACTGCGTGTCGTCCATTTTCACCTTGAAGAAGGTGTTGTACTGCTCCTGGCAACGCGTCAGGTTCCAAACGGTGACCTCGATCTTCAGCTTTTTCTCACTTGGCTCCATCTTCTCGGTGAGTCCCCAGCCGGCCACATCCATGCCGTAGTCGACGAACTTGTTCTGCAGCATGTCGTTCGAGGGCAGGCAAATGGGACGCACGTAGTCGGTGTAGCTGTTGGAAAATATGGAAGTGGAGTCACAGGATAATCTTAAATTCAAGGATCTACATACGTCACACTCCTCTTGAGTCGCACCAGAGCAATATCGTTTTTCTGGTCCACGGAAGCCGGCGCAAACTGCTCATGGACGATGCCCTTCTCCACCTCGATGTCGATGTGTTTGGGCGCGCAGATGCGATTTCCGTTCATCTGGGTGGAGCAGTCGGGATCGGTACTGGTGTCCCACTCCCCGAGGCGGACGCTGTGCAGGACGACGCCGGCCTGGTCCAGATCTCGGCTGGCCAGGCAGTGCCCGGCGGTCAGGACGTAGCGCGAGTTGATCAAGGCGCCACCGCAATTAAAAGAATAGGTATCCGCCAAAACTGCAAGGGATAAATGGAGATACCCAAATCGAATTTACATTTTTTTTTAAATAATCGTTGTTTTACGAATAGAAATGATCTTTAAAATGCGTTGTTAAGCTGATAATAGTTTTTAAATGTTGTGTATTGAACATCACATTTATATACATAGACTTAATAAATGCATTTAAGATCGAATAACCAAATCGAATTTAAATATATTTATATTTAAATCCTTAAAATCCGTTCTTAAGTTGAAAATATTTTTTAAATGTTTTTTTTGAGTCGTACATTACATTTATATATATTTATTAAATGCATTTTAAGAACAATGCTGTAAATAATTATTTAGCAAAATCAGAAGCAAAGTTCAATAAATTGTTAATTATTTCCAATGAAAAAAATAATAGAAATAAAGTACATCATATGCCTTTAAATGATAAGAATTGACCCCGCTAATCTATATGTATTTATAATATGTATTTTCCTAAATTATTTACTCACTTTTTTTGTACTGCAGCAGCACCATCCATGGGAATTCCCAGAGGCTAGTGTTGGTTCCACCAAAAATTCGATCGTGCAACAAGAAGCCGCAGACATCATTTCCGGGCAGCACGTTGCCTGGCTGCACTTCATCCCCCTTCGCAACCGAAGGCTGTGGTTCCGGGACACCGCCACGTCTGCTCTGTGGGCAGCAAACCAGGATGCGGTTTACCAGGCCCTCCATTCGGTTGTCCAACCCACATTGGCTCTTGGACAGCAGGGTGCGCTGGGCAGGAGTCTTCGGCTCCACCTTCAGCAGGTCATTCAGGTAGGGGCAATCGGTGATGTGGATGCACTGGCCGCGCTCGTCGCTCTGCTGGGGCGTACAGGCGCCGAAGCTGATCTGGGTCGCGTCTGGAAGAGAAGAGTGCGGTTTACGATGCAGTCTAACCGGTTCTCAGGCAGTGCAAAAATTGAGATATTCCCATTCATATCTAACACCCATAAATTTATCATAAAAAGTTGCTTCATTTTAATTGGAAAAACACTTGTATCTATTGTTTTCAAGGTCTGAATAACAGAATTTTGGTCATATGATTAAAAGGTCTGACAAACTGCATTTCATAGATACAAAGGTATTACCTTATGCAGATCTATAGCACAATTATATTTTTAAACTAGATTAAATTCTAAAGTTAGGTACAATGTTCATTTCTATAATATAATTTCAATTGATAGAATCACAAACTCATAACAGTCAGTAAGATCTTCCATTATAGAAACTTTAGAGAATTTAAAACAAAAAACTTCTTGATTTTTAAATTTTAAAAATTATCCAATAAAGTAAGTCAGAAATTATCTGTTTCTGTGTGCCTCCCAAGGATATCTCACCCACCTGTTTGCAGGAATAATCCGGATAATGCGCTGACCACCAGCGACAGCAGTAGAAAATTTCGTTCCGTTGTAGGCATCTCGTCGCTACGGATTCCGATCTGATACTAACCAAGCTCTCCGGCTGTTGGGCAGCTCAAATCTAAGTCGCTCCCGCTGCACTGGATGCGATTAGCTGGGGTTATCTCTGGATTTCAATGGCAGCGGGCTAAATGCGATCTAGATTACAACAAAGGCAACTGCTCGTTGATTGGGGTGGACTTTCCCAGATACTTGGATTAGCATAGCGGAGATTACATGGGCAAACCCACCATTTGAAGTCTTCGGTCTCTGTGCAATACTCTCTCAACCGGTTTTACTCCCAAGACTTGATAATGACGTTTCTATATCGATTGATATACTCACATTGATTAATACTTTGTCTATTAACTCGATAGTACGCAGGGAAGGTAATCTCATCTAAGAGGAAGTTCCGGGCAGCGGATGAAGAACATGTTGACAGTATTAGAAGACTACGTTATCAAAGTCAAAAATTTGACTTTTGGGAAATGATTCACTCAATTAGAGAATATTTGATCAAAATATTTTTTATTTTGCATTTCAGAGAGTTAAGCATTTATTTTTATTATCCTTTTTAGTATATTTAGTTAGTTTTGTTCATATCTCCACATATTCCAACGAATCCAATCAATATATTTCGCCGTTTTTGTGTAAACTGCCGGCCCATATCCACACTGGTTGTTACCATATGAGGTGATTCCGGCTAAATAAACGAATTCATCTACGCCCCTTCCCATTGTGGCCATCAACGGACTTCCAGAGTCGCCTCTGCAGGTGTCCGCTCCATTCTGGCCACCGGCACATATTTGGGTCTCTTTGTGAAATCCTAAAGATGGGTACCTAATTGAGCACTCATCCGGGTTCCTTCCCCTAATGTTGGCATACAATAATAGAGTGCTGAAAGTGTTCCAGTGCGAAATACCCCAGCCAGCTATTTGCAAGTTGTAGTCGTCGAAGAAGGGATTCGAGAATTCATACTCAGGTAAAATACAAATGGGTTGGATTTGATGGGTATATCTAAAAAAATTTTTTGGTAAAGTATACCATGGAATAACATTAAGACATTTCTCGAACCTGTGGTTAACTTAACAAAGTTTTTAAATTTAGAAAATAATTGGAAAATTACATCTTAAAACCTTTTTAACATTAGGGTGAACAAAAGGTAGTAATTTTTCTTACCGAACTGGAAATTGAAGTCGAAGCAGGGCAATATCGTTATAATGTTTCCCTCCGAAGGTCCGGTAATGCTCATGCTTGATGATCACCTCCACTTTGATTTCCAGATGCGGGGGAGCGCACACTCTTCTTCCATCCAATTGCATTGGGCAGTCGGGATTAGAGGAGGTATCATGCTCACCCAGTCGCACGCTGTGAATATTAAACCCATTTATGTCCACACAGTGGGCTGCGGTCAGCACGTAGCGGTTGGAGATCAGGGAACCCGCGCACTTGGAGACAGGACTCTGCGCCGAACTGTGGGGATTTATGTATAGAAGCATAGCCATCCAGGGAAACCCGTTCAGTTGCGCCTCCTGGCCAGATATTATATGAAAAGCTGGCGGAGCTTGGCCACAGATCGTCTTATTTGGCAGGACTTCACCGCTCTCCGGGCAGCAGATTAATACTTTATTTATTAACTCGATCCCATTGTTGTCGAGACCGCACTGTCTGTTGGCAAATATATCTTTTTCAGCCTTGGACATACCTATCGGCTTGAGTATGTTCATAAGGGGCGGACAAGCAGTAAGTCTAATGCATTTCTCATCCGGTTGACAAGCCGCAGCTAGAGATTAGAGTTGGATACATATGAAAAAAGAAGCCCACTTAAATATTTGCACGTAAACTTAATTTCTGCAATTATGATAATTTTTTAAAACCATATTCTGGTAAAATAAAAATTAAATATTTTAGATTTAGTAAAATTTTAAACTACTTCTGAAAATATTTGTATTATTCTTGTCGCTAGTTACCAGATTCAGTCAAGTTCGCCACAAGAAAGGCCTGGAGCAGAAGCGAAAAAAAAACTTTAAGTAAGAACATCTTGAGCCGTCGAAGTTCAAAATAAAACTAAACTGGAATGCATTAAAAGAAGTCCATACAATCTCGAATTCGGGGAATGATTCATTCAATTCCAGAAGTCAATGTGTCAAAGCTGAAAGCGATAAGTTTACCCATCAGACCGGCACCAATTAAAGCTCTTGTACTTTGATTCGCCCTCTGTGATTTACTAGGAAATAGCTGAATTTAAGTCGAATACAAATGCTTAAGCTAAGGCCCAGATGGCGGCCTTTTCCTTCAGAGGACATCAGTTGTGGTTATGTTTAGCGGGTTGCGGGTTGCGGCTCAAGCCCAAGACGGGAAGGGATGCTGGAGTGTGGGGGCGTGACGTTCAAATCTTGTTGTGCGCGTAGTTGTAGACCTGCTGGAACCCTTCGTCGTCGCCCTCGCCATCGTCCGAGTCATCGGAGTCGAATGTGTTGTCTGGGATGTCGTACAGACGGATGATCGGCTTGTTGGGGTCCTTCATGATCAGGTATTTGCCGTCCTTCTGCTTCATCACCAGATCGATGATGCACCGCAGCACTCCCCAGGCATTGTCCATGCTCAGGTTGATCTGGGTGGCGAACTCGTGCGGCTTGAACTGCTGCGTGCCGAGGATGACATGGCGCGAGTGGTCTCGCGGATTAATACGCGACACATAGCCTAGCTTCAGCTGATCGGACCCGGCCAGCACAGCCTGCACGGTCCACTTGGCCAGCTTGCATGCGTTGTTCCTCAGCTCGTTGGCCAGCACGGCGCCGCGCTGCGTGTCCAACTTCTGACGCCACTCCACGCCGTTGGCCAGCTTCGAGTCCCACTCGTTGAGCGCCTTGATGGACATGAACTGCGGCTCGCCGCTGGGCGTCTGCAGGACACCATCGTGCTCGCAACGCGCCACCAGAACCTAAAGGTTAAAGGACAAGGTTGAATAATGGCAAGCATCATTTCTAAGCAGATACTTACAATGTCGCTTCCCAGCTCCCACTTCTTGTAGCGATAGCCCACGCTGGCCACTTGGATATCCTCGTCCTCGCTGATGAACGGATTGCCCTCCTCGAACTTGAACTTGGCCTCCTGGTCGCCGGTCTTCAGCACTTGCTGGCTGAAGTTGTGGTTGATAAAAGTGGCCTCGATGGCCAGGTTGCGGGGCGAGTTGCAAGAGCTGTCGTCGTCGGTCGGGGGCTCCACGCTGCTCTCGTTCACGGTCAGCAGGTCAAACTCGGTGTGGTCACGCTTGTCCATGAAGATCTTGTCGCCTGGAAAAAAGGTAAGTTATTGTTTGGGTCCAGTATACTTTATAAAAATGGTAAAATATTCTGCTCCTATAATTAACTTATCTGTATGTATTTTTCTATCACTATTTCACTCCATTAAATAGGTTTTTAATTACAGATATAAAATATAAACGTTGCGTGAAACATTTAACACTTTCCAAGATTATATAAATCAAATCTAGGTGAGTATGTTTTTGTATATTTTAATGACAATGTCTTAAAAGACCATTATTGTTTTTTAGATGTCTTTTTTTGATATTTACTTGTATACGGAAGAGAATGTCATACCTTTTGCACTACATAATCTTCTTTTTTCTTGACATTATCACAGGAGTATTAGGACATTCAAAACCATCTTCAAAATCCATTATATAGAAATACTTTAAGTTCCCAATTATCTTCCTAGCCTTCGCCTTTCTTGCTTTTCATTAGACCTACCGACTTTCTCGATGACAATGTCCCAGGAGTAGTTCGATCGCGTGGAGCACATGATGGTGGCCAGGATGGCGTCCGTGGCGAAGACGTTGCCGACGGTCTTGGACAAACGCCGGATGACGGGATCGTCTGTGGTGGTCACCGTGTGCACGATGCGGTCGATCTTCTGCAGCGGCTTCTCGTTCTTCACGTTGATGCGGTCGTAGGTCTTGTCGTAGTACTCCAGAGTGCCGCAGGTGACGATATCGACGCCCTCCTTGATGTTCGGCAGCGACAGCTTGATGAGTCGCGGGAAGTCCATCTCCTCGATGGACGCCCAGTCGGCGCGCACGGCCACCGAGGATTCGCGCATCTTGGGCGGTGGTCCGCGATGGCCGAACTTCTTGCCCATGCCGCGACCGCCATGACGCGGATCCCGGGCCTTCACGTTCTTGCCACTGAGCGTGGTCATGCCGTGGGTATTGAGGCCACCACGGGCATTCCTGCCGCGACCGGAGCGCGAGTTCCTCATGTTTCGGAACCTGCCGCGCTGATGGGGCGGCTTCTGGACGCGCGCGGTGTCCACCAGGTGGAAGGTGGTCTCGTCCTCCTCATGGTAGTACGAGTACTGGTTGCCAGTGCCGAAGCTGGAGGCGTACTTGTCTGAAAGTTATAGAGAAATGGAAACGCCAATAAATTAGTCGTACTGCCACGACACACGCACCTAACCTCACTTTCGGCCGGAAAGTGGCTAGGTGGTCTGTGGGATTCGGTAACTGTGACCCCGGGACGCTACTCACTCTGGTACTTCTTGTCGTTGTTCGAGGTGCTCGTCCAGTCGCAGATCTTGCCCAGGCGATCGTTCTTGCTGAACGGCTGGTACGGCACATCCTTGAACGTATCGGGCAGCTCGCAGGGGCCCCAGCCCTTCTCGTTGAACTGCACGGTCGGCTTCTCGAAGGTCGGGAAGGTCGCCGCGGTGTTAATGGTCTCGCTCATCTCGCGCGTTTTCCTTTTGGCTCGCTCTGCACCCTGGTATTCGGTCTGTATTCAGCGATTTTCCAGAAATCAAACAGAATCGTGCAAAAAATTATCGTCGCGTGTTGTCGAAGAAATAGAGGAGTTGCCAGACGAAAATTTTGCTTTCGCCCTAAAAAATCCCAAACAGTCGGTAGTTCCACCTAAAAAATGCACACACACAAATGGTCACTCTCTGTTTATTTTTAAGCGCCCTCTGGCGGTGCGTTTGCGCATTTCTTGTGCAACGTAAAATAACGTAAATTTGACGATTACGAAAAATTCCGTTTAATGTTTTTGGATACGAAAAAATGGCTGAATATTGTTTCAAAATTTTCGGACCGTATTCAACCACGACATGTTTAAATATTTACTTAAAAGACTTCGATATCGATATATTCCCAACTCAGAGGTTTTTGAGATTTGAATTGGTAAAATCAGACATAGATGGCGCTGCAAATGGGCGCCAAATTTTAAATTTTAGTCAGTTTAATCTAAACGTGGAATACATCTTTGTTTTGATTTCTTAAGGACTTTTAGTCGTTATCTAGAGATTAAAGGCTTAAAAATTAAATTAAAAAGTTCTAAAAGAAGAATATTTTTATTTCCTACATATAAAAACCTTTTATTTTTGATCGAGGATGAACACAAACTGAAAAAGTAAGGGCCTGAAAAACGGACAATAAATTTACTGACAATTGTCCAGCTTCTTGTTGAACTTCTCCTTGTACTTGGCGCAAAAAATGGAATCAAAATTGTCAGTTAAATTGGCCGATATATCTGCATCATAAATCTAGAAATCAAAGATGTTAAATATATTTATTTTCAAGTTATGCTATACAAACTTACATTGTCCATCGCTATGGCTGGCACTCCCTGAAATGGGATCTTTGCTGTCTCCTCGCCGTATTTCTTCAGAATGTCATTCACCCGCCGCGTCTTCTTGCAGTTTTTGACATCGCTCACGTCGATTTTAAGGCGGTCAGCGCACTTGTCCAGCCTGTTCTTCTTGAACCGCATCATGCAGGCGATCAGCTTCAGGGATTCGACAATGTCATGGTGCTCCAGTACGCAGGCGTGCCAGGCATTCAATTCGCACTCCAGCTCTCCGTGCTGGCAGTTCACATTTCCGGCGGCGTCGGTCTGGAGGGGATCAAGTGCTATTTAGATGCGGATTAAGGCTGATGGATGCTATTAAAACCAAAATTGAGCAGGTTTTTACAGCCGATCGATAGGAGATTTTGTCGAATTATCAACTAGTTTGACCTCTTAAATATTAATAGCTATAATTTTGGTTATAGGAGTCGTAAATATTAATGTCTAATACCCATGACTATATTTAACGATTATGGGGCGAGAAAACTTTCGTTTTTAACAGCTCTAAGATTTTGATTTAATAAAAAAAATTTTAATAGGATGAATTCTTGTAACTTAGTGTAATCCAAACCTACCCTGGCATTTCCAAAGGGAATTAGCGTAAGATCAGTAAAGGGCAGTCGAGCCAGTCGGATCATCGAAGGACTCAGTTGGGTGGTGACAAATTGCATGCAGTAGGGACACAGTGCTTCGTAGTACAGGGTAATTGGCAGTCGATCAGCTTGTGGTGCTCGCAGTCGCTGCAAATTCATGATCATTGATCGTTGGAATCATCATTGTTCAACTGGTTAACTTACCCTGGGCGTGGCCACGCCCACCCATCCCACCAGCAGGCAGACAAAGACAAACGCCCTCATGGCAGATTCAGTTTAATTCTCAGCTGATCTTGAAAAATTCAGCCGCTCAACGCCAGCGACCGCTCGACACTGAAATAAGGCCTGGATTATGCACAGCGTGGTCACTGCGCTTCAACAAATTTAAAGCGGGCAGTGGCGTAGCCAGAAATTGTTTTAAAAAGGATGTTTTTAAGTTATCTTTATAAAAATTGTGTTTGCAGAGACTGCTATATATATAGTGGCGGGAAAAATAATAGAAACGTACGACTTTTTTTTTATTTTTAACGACTTTATTTTTATTTAACCAACAAAATTTTTTTTTAATATTTTATAGATTTCCGTCAATTAAAAAGAAAATCCATAAATCAATCCAACATTATTTGTTATAACTTTTATGACTTCCTTTGGTTGTTACTTTTTCGGTAGCTAATACAATGCATTTTATTAAGCACATCCAAGCTTCAAATGTAAATTTTTGCCGATTAAGTTTATGGACAAAGGCGTCACTAGCCGTCACCATTTAATTACTACTTTCAGTTAATATCTTCGCGGTTAGCTGAAGCAAAGGTGGGATGAGGAAACTGGAATACATTTACGACTTGCTTCCTCTGACAAAAGGTTTCCCCCTTTTCTGGCCCCCCGTGGTCGGCGCCCCTGCTGGCAGAGAGCATTTCCCCCGGGACTCACGTCGAGTGAATGTCCAAAACAAAGCCCACGGAAACCTCAACTGATTACGGAACACAGTGGGCAATTACGGAGCAGTAGTGTTTTAATCTCATTTTTAGCCGACCAGACAGCTGTTCTTGATTAGTCTCTGTGTATACGAAAAACGTGGCTGATAAGCTGATATATTTAAATTTCTATTTGCCTAATCTGAGTCAGCGAAAAAGCAAACTGGCCAGTGAAGTGTAATTATTATTTATTAGTCTTGGCACATTTAAAAACATTACTCATTATATAGACAACATATTACAAAATTGCGGAACAAGAGGGCAGAATAATGTTAAATTTCTTTTTATATTCCTGGCAAAAGTGCCTCTCAAAGTTGTTGCGAATGCTTCTCTGTCCATAGGGATCAAAATTCTGAGAATTTAAAAATAAATCAGAGTGGAATTTGTTAATGAATTACCAAGTTATTTACTCACATTCTCAAACACAATGCTGGGCACAAAGGAGATTTCCAGTTTGAGGGTTTCCCTGCCGTAGGGCTCCAAGATTTCGGGGGTTGAACGCGAACTCTTGCATTCCCTAGCTTTGCTCACATCCAAACCTAATCTCCTGGAACATTGATCCAGTTCATTGGAGTAGGATCGCAGCATGCAGTAGATCAGTTCAAAGGCCTTTCGAAGTTCCAGGGTCTCAATAATACAGGCGTGCAGGGCATTGAGTTCACACTCATCTGTGCCATGTTGGCAATAAACTTGCATTTTACCAGAGTCGTTGTAGAACTGAAAGATAGAGATTAAAATGCTAACTATATTTCTCAGAAATATTTAATAGCTTGAGTAATTTTCCGAATGGAATTTTTTAACGATGTTATTGAAATGAACTTTCTATTCAAAACACCATATAAATATGTACATAATCGTTTCCGTTTAATGCTTTGTTTATAAGTCTACAGACTATGTCAAAAAAAATGTTTGTGGAGTGAGCCAAGAATTATTCTCTTAATGGGGAAAAAGTAGGGCGCATGACAGACTCACCCCCGCCTTGCCGAATGGATATAGCTTCAGATCGGTGACAGACCACCAGTTATTATCCTCAAGAGCATCGTGCAGTCGGCGACGGATGAAGTTCATGCTGTCTGGACACAGTGCTTCGTAGTGGATGGCCACCAGGAGTTTCTGGCTTTCCGGGGATTGTCCATTTCCGGACGTGGGCCAAACGAGCAGCAGGCACAGGGCACACAATATTCCAAATATTTTATTCATCGTCCGCGCTCGTTCTCCGCTCTTGGCAGCCTCACAAACCAAACACAACTGCTCTTTTCGATTTGCCCATTTCACATGCGCCGCTCTATACAAACCATCACGCACATCTGTCACATCCACACGGAATATATAGTATGTGCAGAGTGGACTATATATAAATCGTTTGTTCTTTCTCTCCCATTTCTCCCACCATCGGTAGAGCAATTACTCTCCGCAAATATCGGAGCATCGCATGGGCATATATCTCTAATCTCTAATCAGACTGACTGCTTAACCCACTGAACTTTGCGACTTCCGACTACGGGGGATTTTTGGAATGATTATAAATAGTGGTACAGTGTTGCATATAGAAAATCGTATTTCTAAAATATTTCTTTAATAAGTTATTTCCATTATCAACACAAATTATAATTAATATTAGTTTTTAAATCCATATAATTCTGCGGAACTGAAATTATTTATTAGTATAATGTTAATTTCGGGCTGCATGAAAAGTCAAGTGCAGTGAATTATCAAATAGAGGTTCTAATTTAATAATCCCAACCATTGAGCTAATTTAATCAAACCAGTTAGCAAATGGATTAAGCTATAAATTAGTAATTGATTAATTCTGTTAAGAGCATGACTTGGCAACTATAAAATAAATGTAGAAAGAATTTAATTATTTCGAATATCTTTAGAAACTGGCCCGAAAATGGGTTAATGGCCAAAACCGTGCGATTGCCACATTTCAGTGTGTCGCATGCGACCAGTGGACATTAACGAATCATAAACAGTGGGCTTATCAACAATTTAAGCGTAACAAGTTCAGTGCACTGTCATGTCGCCCGGGCTGCTAATTGACAGACCGGCAATGGTTCCATTCGGGTAGCATGCCTTGGAGGCCGGTCCAAAACGGTGTTTTTGCTTTGTTTATTATTATTTTATTTTTTTTTTTGGCCGGCAAACCAGTTGTTTGTGGCGCATATATAGATGTAACTGTCGCACAAAATGGCTTGCACAACCTGCAGGCAAGCGAATGCCATTGACCATCGTCCACCAACGTAAACGTGATCGCAAACGTGGCCGGCTAGGCAGTTGAGCAATTTCAATTTCTTACTAATTTTCAGTGGCTCTTAATTGCCAGGAAAATGTTTGGAATTGTTGCCTACCGCTTTTATGGGCACGTCATCTCTTCGCGGAGCGTGTTTCATGGTCAAGGTTTGCACGCAAGAATGCCTCCGGCCACCTGCACAGTGAAAAAAAGAAAGAGATCAGGTCTAAATTGATTTGGAGCCATCAAAGTTACATCAATTTTCATTCGGTATTTATGAATATTCAATTTGCCTACCAATTGCCTGTCAATTTTGATTTGAATATTCAACGACTGCCCCCTTTCTAAAATCAACAAAGTAACCGCAGGTTTGCTTAAAGATAATCCCAGTGTCTGGTGACTCTTATTAATACCTATTTATTAAAGTACTGACCACAGCTTATTCAGCTTTCTCAAAATAAAGTATTTTTCATATTTGGAGATGACATAATAAAGAGGTTAAAAATCTCACAGACTTTTCAAATTCTGAATTAATATTTTATTTTAATAATTTATGAAAAGTATAGTTTCTTATTAAAATATAGACAATATCGAAACAATTATCACTATAAAGTTAGCTATAAATTATTCGATTTTTTCTAGTCAACTAAAAAATATTTCTAAAAAAAAAACCACGACTCTTCCCTAATTTAATAGATTTTCTTCTATTTGATCAAGTTTTTATTATATCTATTTATTTTTTCTGTGCACCCTCGTATTGTTTATGGTACAGGTGCAAAGTAAGCAAAAGCACAATCCATCCAAGAGGAGCAACTTCCCATCGAAGACCGGTGCTGAAAGAGAGATGAAAAAGCGACAGTATTTTATGACGCGCCTCGCAGATTTCCGCACAATTAATTGGCCAGAGTTTTCCCGATCTTCGGCGTGTTGCAGCTGCAGTTAACCCAAATTGCTTCTTGACCAATTGGGCTGGCCAGCCCATAGATCAGAGACTCGGAGACTCGCCAACGCTTTTGCTGCCCAGAGGCAATAGCACGAGTAACGTTTATCTGCGGCCCCTCGATCTGATTCCAAATCGAAGTTGGAGTCTTAGTCGCAGTCTTAGTCTCTGAATCACAGTCTCAGACCGTTCCAGTTTCTGGAGTCGTTTATTGTGTTACTTTTCGCTTCTTCTAATTTGCATTTTTATAGATTCGCCAGTTTTCTGCTCTTTTGTGGGGGTTTCGATGATGTTTTAAAGGGGTATTATTAGTTTGGCAAAAGTGGGTGAAGCAATGATTATGAGCTTTTGATAGATCTTGTAAGGAAATTGGAGCATCCGATTTAACAGCTAGGCTTTTGAAGAATTTTTAAAATTTCTTTTAACGTATATTTTTATATTTAGTGATGATTTGTTATTTAAATTATTTTAAATCACCCAAAGAAGAGTTCAAAGTTTTTTAATAAAATGCAAGTGTATTTAAACCTTCGTTTTTAATGTCTTGAATTCGTCTGCGTTTCTTTGGTGTCCAACTTTTGTGGCATTGCCCGTTCTTGTTGCAACATTTCAACCGCAAAACCAATGAAGCCATGCTAGCTGTATTTTATTGTTGTCTTTTTTGTTGATCTTGTTTAGTTGCCGAAAACGCATTGAGCCACAGCTCTTAACCCTTGTGTTTAAATAAAAATTACAACCAATAATAGTGAACAAAATCAAACAAACTTTCCCACCACTTAAAATACCATCATCTATTAAAATATACTCATTGTAAAATCAATTTGTCAAGAATCTTATCTTCCGCCTTCGATTAAACTTTTTCGCCAAAGTGAAAGTTGCGAATGAAGGTTTTTGCACATGGTCTAAAAATACATGCGATGAGTTCTCGGGGTATTTTAAAATCAATTAACGGAAGTAAGAAGCAAACGTGACTCACGGAAGCTCCACCTTAATCGAAAAAAAGAGAGCGGGTCCGTCTGCACCTTCTGGCGAATGGTGGTGTTAAAGTCAGCTTTCGGTGGCTGATTTTCGAGTAAAAAGTAAAGAGAGGCCTTAGTGGGTCACGGTGGACCAGTTTTGCAATTTTTTACCAGACCGGCCAGGAAGAAATTTCGTTGCATATCATTTCTTTTCTCTTTTTCCGCAGCCTTTCTCCGACTGCTGCTGTCATGCAACTGTGGATCTGGTATTTGCAAAGCGGTTCCATTGGGTCCCCCGTTATACAGATCGGTTCTACCTCCGCTATTTAAGCTGCCCAGCGTACTCGGCATCCACGTCTGGGGAACGTGTCTGGGCATCTAATTGCGCATCCCGAATCCCAGCCGATTTCTTATGCAAATTACGGCTGGCTAATGCCCGATTTCCGCCGCCCCATTAGCATTGTCAATTTTTACAAGTCGGGTCTCGACGGGTCCCTGGCATATCATCATAATCCAACTCCGACGGCCGGCATTGCCTCATCGTTACACATTTCTCGGGTATTACATGATGATATTCATCAGCGTCTGGTTCGTCTTGGTTCGCGTGCAAAAGCCTTATAAAGAGTGCGGATGGTTGGGGCAATCGAATGCCAGATGCTCTGCGGTCTGCGATGAGAATCGCTACTCTAAGTTGATTCAAACTGCCAGTTGAACGAATTTTCAATTGTTTTGAGATACTTGGAATTGCTTTTTATATATGCCCTTTTGTTAAATCACCTCACAAAGGCAATGTATATTTTTTTGGCCCCTTTAACCTTGCTCTTAAATCTTTTGGTTTTTTCACTTTTGTTTTTTAAAAATTAAATTAAGTCTTTGTAACTTCACGCTCCTTACTTCCATTTTGAAAAACTAAATTCCCCATCAATTACCAAGATCATGTTTATTTTTTCACGACAATCCTCTGTAAATTTGTAAAAATTTCAACATTTCTGCCTACTTTTCCGGTGGATTTTCCTGCTCAACATTCCTGTTTATTTGTCCAGTTCAACTTTCAACCTGGCCATCCAACTCTTTGACTTTGACTTGAGTAATCGGCTTAGCAAGTGGTTCAACTAGCTTGGTCAACCGACCAGTTCAGCTTACCCTTTCAATTCACCCGTCCACTGAAAGTGTTCCTTTACATAATGGCCGGTCATTACTAAACACTTTGCTTAATCAGTTATTCTTGCATCAAATTTTATGGCTGCTAAATACAACATAATCAAAATACCTTTCCGCAAATCGTAGGGTATCGTCAACAAAGCTCTGCTCCACATGCAACCAAGCATGGACCTTAAAAAATGACGCCACAATACCGCGAATGCCGAAAATGCACTTTTTCACATGCCGTTGCAGGCAAATAAATCTCATAGTTTTCCACTTACCATGCAGTTGTCAACTTTGACATTCCAAATTGCCCGACGGATATTTTTTGGGGATTCATAATACAAAAAAAAATTTCACAACCTGCATTTGTTCTCTTTTTTTTTTGTTGCACTGATACAGATACAGATCCAGTTCAACGTATCTGTATTTGGCGGTGAGAGAACATTATCTTGTATCTTTTAGCGCTTTTTCGCATGTATCTAGACCAAGTGCCGACAGATGAGTTGAGGGCTAGCTGGGAGGTAAAAACGGGTTCTCGTGTGTGCGGTAAAGTTCCATTTTCATTTCCATTTCCACTCTTTATGCCACCTGGTAATGGTAATTGAGTGCAATAGCCGGCCGAAAGGTGAGAGGCAATGATCGCTCCGAAAACAGTTAGTTCCGATGCCAATAACCCGGCAAAATGACGCACTGCCCGTCGGAATCCGGCGAGTGTAACTCGTAAATCTTGGCCCCTGTCCAGATACAGATACAGATAGTCGTGCCTGAGAAAGATATCCGCTAGCGGCACTACGACACCATCTAAACTGGGCTGACTTACGTCGCCTTACGGCTAGATAAAGGTATTAAGTATTTATTTATAATTGTCGTATAATTGTGGCGCACACAAAGCGCCCAAAATAACACTTGACTCAAATCGGGGGCACTTCTGCCGGGAGCTTTGCACCAAACTTTTTTTTAGGGCACCGACGACAGATGGTTTCGGCTTTTAATTGGATTGAGCGGTGAGCAAA